AGTTAATATACCACTAGAAGGTACTTAGTATATTTACTATACTAAAGAGGGTAACTAGCTATTTATATAGACTAAATTAGGTCTAGAATATAGTTAGCCATTCATTACCTAGTGTAATATAAATCTTATAGAATATAGTAATAATATCTAGTTTTATAAACTACTTTACTTTTATAATATACTCTAATATCTTATTAATTAGTAGAAGGGGGTAATAATCTTTCTTGATTATAGTATTTAATGCTTAGTAATTAATATAGAAATATAGACCTTTACTAGGCTTATATATAAGTAATACTAAGGCTATAGCTAATAAGCTACTAATATATATAAAGTTCTTCTCTAGCAGCTCTATAAGTATCTTATATAGTATAAGTAGTTCTTTATATAATATACTATATAATAGACCCTATAAGGGCTCTACTTACTTACTATCTAGACCTTTAAGTAGTTTAATATAGTAATCTATCCCTAGTTAGTATAGTAGTAGTTTATTAGCTTATTTATAGTTAAAGACTTCTAGATGCTTATAATAATATATAAGTAGCTTAGTCTTAGGGTTAATATATTACTTTACTTATAAGGCTTTATTAATATCTTTAAGGGTAATTATAAATATCTATACCCTCTTACTCTTATATTATTAGTAATTCTAGATAATAAACCCTTATATAGATATATAATATACTAAGAGCTTTAGTTTATTCTCTAGGCTCTTTACTATAAGGTTATTTATAAATTATATACAGGGTCCCTCTAGGTTAATTATAGCCTTCTAATACCTTATCTATAGTAATCCTAGTATTATATCTGCTCTATTAGCTAGCTTAGACATGATATATATATAGATATAGAGCTAGTAGTTACCTCTAATATCTAGTAAGAAATAGGTTATCTTTATAATAGTATCTCCTTCTATACTACTATAGCTTTTTAGTTAGATTAGTAAAATTTTAAATTACTTTACTTAATGCTTTTACACTATGCATTCTAATATAATAAAGTAAGAGGTGTACCTAGTATCTATTAAAGAATTATATATAGATATTTTATTAAGAATTATAGTTACTAGGAACTCTAGTTTATTAAATAGACCTATATCTTCTAGGAACTATTTAAATCCCTCTTTTATATTAATCTTCTCTTTTATAATTAGAGCATCATTACTAGGGCACTATAATACTAGTTATATTAACTATTTAACTAGCCCCTATATAAGTCTTTTTATAGGGGCTACTCTTTTTCTAATTTACTACTTAGTTGATTAGTTCTATATTATCTTTAAGCATAGGGGCTACTACATTTATATAGGTAATCTAGGGTATAGTCTTATAGGGATACTAAGCAGGGTTATACTAGTAGTTATATACTATATAGCTAGATATACTATAGTATAGATATTAACCTTTCTACTAGTATTTAGTTATCTCTGTATTATCTACCTACTTTATATAATAGTATCTATAGGCTAGTAGCATAGTTAGCTCCTAATCTATAGTATTAATATTACCTATAGATCAGGTAGGTATAGTAGTAGTAGTGCTAATATATACTTAACTAGTCTAGGCCTTCCCTTTTTAAGCTAAGTATTTCTTAACCTACTCTTTAGCTTCTAATCTATCTATAATCTCTTAGATCTAGTAATAATAAGCTTTAAAGATTTCTTCTTTCTTGACTATAAGTAGTAAGGCTTATATCTCTTAGTTAATTACTATATTAATATAGCTCTTCTTTACCTTATTAAAGAACCCATGGCCATCTACTTCTATAATAAGCTAATTTATATCTATAAGTATATCTTATATTAGCTAATTTAACTAATATAGTGCCTAGAGTTCTTATATAGCTTACTTCTATTAGTTCTTATCTAGGAAGAGTAGGTCTATCTAGTCTAGTATTATAGCTAGGGTCTATTTACCTATCTTAGGGTCATCTACATAGGTATTTATCTAGGGTAGTATAGCAGTATTAGCAGCTCTAGTTAGGTATAAGAATACTAGCTAGGCATAGTTATAAGAAGAGCTAATTACCTACTAGTTAATCTATAACTTAGCTTATAGCTTTATATAAAAGGAGGTATACTATATCTTATTAATACTATTATAGGAGGGAGGGTTTAGTAAAATCTATTTTATCTATATTCTAGGAGCTTCCTATAGTTAGGGCTTAGTCTACTACTCTTAAGAGTTAAGAGGTATACTTTACTAATGCACTATCTTAGATTCTAGTTAATTAATATAGTTTAATACCTACTCTAGTATATTTGTAATATCTATAGCTAGATCTATATTTCCTTTTATATTAGTATCTATTATATACTCTTATTAGGTTCTAATACTGCCTGTTAATTCTAATATTATCTTATTATTTCTAATATTCTAATATTCTAATATATTTATATATTCTGATGTACTCTGTACAGTTATTAGGTGCATCTAGTAATCTAATATATCTACTAATATACATTTCTAATAATTCTAATGTGTATTTCTAACAATAATGAGTGAGTTCTAATGTTATGGGCTAGGCTGTAGAGAAACCTATGACTAGGTATATATAAGAAGAACTCACTGAAGAACTAGAATAGGGGGTCTGTAGGCCTGGATAGAAATATCTGATAGTGCGTCGCAGCTAGCAAGAGGTCATATGACCTAGGCTGTTAGTTCATAAGTTACTTCATATCGCGAGTGCTAGGCAGCACAAGCATATCACAGGCCATGCTTGCAACACAGACTATTTATCTAATTGCTGTCACACCCTGGGATCCGTCTCTGCTGTTCTCTGCTAGTCAACGACTTTGGGAACGGGGTGGTATAGTCCCTGGACTATATCCGATACTTGCCTAAGGCCTACCGACCAGGTAGCCTGATGGTGCAACGATACAATGACCTGACGAGGTCAAGGACAATCCAAAGGTAACACAAGAACAATAACAGTAGAGATAGAAGCAAGGCCTATTGAGTACGTATACTCAATAGTAAGAGAGTAGCTGACGAATCGGACTAGTGAACTTGTACTCAAGTGAGATCTTGATATTGAACGCGAGGAACTAAAACTAAGAGTGCTAGATACAATGGTAATGAGTGTCCTTATATATCCATAGTTCCTCCAGTTGGTATGCGTGGTAGATGGTAGAGTGGTATAGTGGTAGATGGTGACGATACCAACATACCCTTTATGTTATATACCAATATACCATATCACGTGAGAGGCTGGAATTGGCCTATCAGCCGTCATCACATAATATATCCAATCACCTTGATCGTGGTCTTGTCACCTGCATGTTCCATAGGGTGATTGGATGTCCGCATTCCGTAATTCTGCCTGTCTCATCCGCCTTAGGCTAGTGCGGCTGTGTTGGTGCCGTAACAATTGCCAGTAAAGAACCTTATATTATAACTAAGCTACAGTATGTTAATATTCATTAATACTAGCTGTGAGAGCATGCTTAGGCTAGGGAGGTGAATGTTAGGTAGGTTCTAATTAATTAGATGCTAGTAGACGGCCTGACCAAGCCTCTGTATGGTGAAAAATACTAAAAATTTATTAAGATGCTAGGTTTAAAGGACCTAGTGTCAAGGTGCAGGCTCGTAAGTAAACGGAAGTAGGTTAATGAGGTAGTTGACACTCAGGCTAGTTACAGTGATCTCTATCTATCTGTTCAGGCTGCAGGGCAGGCTGGTACAGGCAGGCTCTATAGACAGGACGTAGCTCAAAGAGCTTCAAACAGGTTTCGGAATTGTGCGGTGAAGATATTCCCAAGATCACGTGATTTCTCATTAGCGGTTCCAACTCCTATCCACGGCAGCACCGTGACACCTAGATACCCTTAACATATAACTAGATTAGGAAGGTGGTAGTTGTAAACTAAAGATAGTGCCTATTAGTAGGTACAGCTAATTCTTACTAATTCTTAGCTGAGGTGTGTTAAAGCACTGTATCTTTAGTACCAGATTATATATTTTATGCTTGCTTATCTTACCTATTCTAGTTAGTCTTATTTAACTAGAATACACATAACTTCTGGTCTTATTACTCCTTACATAGAAATTCACATACATTCATAGACACAGCATGAATATGTCCCAGTTTGACCTCTACATGCTCAGATTACCAGTGTAACCATATTACCATATTACGTGCAATCTGACACTTGCATATGCGCTGTGATAATGCATGCAGGCTTCAGCCGCGCCACCAGCCGAAGAAAATGGGTAGTGGATACCTACTCCTCTCGACGAATCAACAATTTGAATAGTATATGCATGAGGGCTCAATAGTGTCAGACAGAAGCATCGCTGTCCCTTACTTGAGCTCTTTTGATATTGAATGATTGACTTGGATATTACTCTTTTGCGTCTGCTCGCCCTACAGGAGCCATCGTTGAGGCGAGGGGAAAGACTACCTTACTGAGGTGATCAGCCGTCAGAATGATGGTAAACTGGCCATTTGGTCCGTCAATTCATGCTGTGATGGGCGACTGGCCCTCTTGACACAATGGAGAGTAGAAGGAATCCTCGAGAACACACGCAAGGAGTCCTTGGGAGAGATTAGAACCTAGGACCATGAAGGCCTTCCCTAGCATTGATCTGGAGCATATCTGGCTCGCCAGAGACATAGTCGCTATGTAGTATACATGATTGACTTTCGGACTTGTCTGCCTTATCATAATCACAAGGCACAACCGACAGCTATCGCTATGAAAGTTCATACGTGGATTGGGCTCACAGTTGCCCTGAGTTTGTGTACGCATTCCTATCCGGCCTTGGCCCAAGTCCTTAACTGACTGTCCGTAGTTACTAGCGCCGAGGCTCATCCGGCAACTTTCCATCCTCAAGGCCGAGATGACATCTCCTTCACGATAACAGTGTCCGATGCCGCGAAATCCTCTCAACTGGACGCCCTATTCTTCCAAATCCAAGCACCGAGTACAGTCCAATGGGTCGCACTTGGCCAAGGCGACCAGATGGCGGGAGCGCATATCTTCCTGATCTACGCGTCCTCCTCGACCAACGTGACTGTCTCGCCTCGTGCGGGCACGGGTCATGTCCTCCCGCGATTCAATCCAGAGAGTCACATCTCACTCCTGCCCGGAACTGGCATCAGGAACGCGACCATGACGGCGAATTTCCGATGCCACGACTGCCTTGGTGGCCACGGCGACACAATCAACGCAACCGACTCCGCGAGCAGGTGGATCTGGGCCTACAAGAACGGCAGTCCGATTGAGTCCGATGACGTCTCGGCGGCAATTGACTACCATGATGCCTTTGGAGGGGTGGTCGTGGATCTGACGCGCGCGCGCTCAACCATCGATATGAACGGTGATCCCTTCTCGGACGCTTCCTCGGACGCCGTCCGTCCAATCGACGAACTCTCCATCTCCGAACCCGCAGGCCTGTCCGCAACGGCGATCGCACACGGCTGCCTCATGGCAATCGCATTCCTCCTGCTCTTCCCGACTTTCGCGCTTCTCGTCCCCCTTTCGACTTTCATACGCATGCCCGTGACGACCATCCACGCCCCACTGCAGGGCCTCGCACTGGCCACGGCAATAACTGGCTTAGGGCTAGGGCTGAAGATGTGGGCGGATGGCGGCAGCAACGCAGCCGCGCATCCCATTATCGGAATCGTGGTCGTGGCGAGTCTAGCTCTCGTTCAGCCTGTTCTCGGGTGGCTTCAACACAAGCATTTCAAGCGCACCGGGGGAAAGAGCTGGTTCGCGTACTTGCACCGCTGGCTAGGCCGTGGAATGCTTGCCCTGGGCACAATCAACGGGGGACTTGGGTTTTGGTGGCTGGGATCTAGCACAGGGCCGCTGAGAACAGGGATGATTGTGTATGCGGTTGTTGCGTGTGTCGTATTTGTGGCATATGTGGGCGTGCATGTTAGTATTTGGGCTGGTAGCGCGGGGCGACAGGAGGATCTGCAAGGCGTTCGGCTGGAGGATAGGCCTTCTGCCGAGATGTTGCAGAGCTTGAATTTGAATGATGGAACCAAGGCGTCTGACGATGTGCCACGAGCGGGTGGGTATGAGGTGGGAGTCGCAGCTGAGCGGGGATACAAGGATTGAAGCCAGAAGAGTTGGGTGCATCACTAAATAGAGCAGAGAACTCTATCATTTAGTCAAATGTACTATTGCTGTCAATAGCCAGATGTGAAGCATCAATCTTTGGCAGGCCTTGATAGAACTGGTGTGATACTTGTTGTCAGGCAAAGATTCAACGGTATGATCTTTCTGTAGTTGCATAATTCCAATATAAATCAGGTCTTCAGTCATGAGATCTCGCATATATTACTATCCTGAGAACTCTATGATATTCAGTCAGGAACAAACAAATTCTTTTGACTTTCTACTCCTGACTACCACAGGCCTGCGCAAACGAATCGATTTCTCAGGTGCTTTAGAAGCCCACCTATTTCCACATGATCTGGGTGACTCCGTTGAAAACGGGAATCATTGTCGCCGTGACCCGAGGCTCCGTGGCAACATAGCGATTGAAAGCATTCATCTTGTCCGCAATGGCCAGATACGGCTCCTGAATCTCCTTGGGGAAGTTTTTGGCAATGGACCGGTCGAGCACCAGGCCTTCAAGGAGAACTAGATCAGATCATGTATTAGCAAGGTCCCAGCAAAGCACCGCACGTGGTAGAAACCCACCGTCGTCCACCAGGATGACTCCACAGGGAGAAAGAAGTTTGTGGTCCAGAATGAACCGTGTGTACGCTTCGTATTCCTCCTCCGCTGCGTCGATGTAGATCAGGTCGAACTGGCCAGTCAATGTAGGTAACCTGATAATGGTCATGGTCAGTAGCAATTCGCTTGATAGGAGGAAAGACACGAGCAATAACACACATTTCAAGACAAGGTCCCTTGACAGTCCTGACACGATCGGTTGTGCCATGTCGACGGAATGCATCCTCGGCGTACTTGAGGTATGTCTCCGACATATCAATGCTGACGATCTCTGCCTGTGTCTTCTTTGTCGCCTCATAGAAAACAAGTGCACTGACGCCAGTGAACGTACCCAGCTCAAGAACTACGGACTCGTCTCAGTGTCTGGTTCTCCCTCTAGCAATCGAACGAATAATAACCTACCTCGTTTCGGCCCCAGCGCCTGAGCGAAGCTCATCAACCAGGCACACTGGGCCGGAGAGGGCGCCATGACAACCTCATCCTTGGACAGCTTATCGGTGAACTGGATCTGTGCGAGGATTGGCGCTGGCAGCGTCGAACTATGGGTCTCGCAGTATTCACCAGCCGTGACGACTTGCTCCTTGGTGAAGGGTAACATACATGCATCTCTCATTTTGGCGGAAGTCTCGAATGAAGGCAATGTAGTTGAGCAGAAGAAGACAATGGCTTCCGACAATAGAATTATGACAATTGACAACTGCTAGTTCGGGTGCTTTTGTGCTGTAGCACCCAACACGCAATAGCAATAGTATCTGCTATTCATACAACCTCCTTGGTGGTATCTAGACCGTGGACCCTTTAGCCGAACCAATCCCCCTTGCGGCTGTGATAGATATGTGTTTAGTCAATATTTTTGTATTGAATATTGCCTAAAGAATGCAACTACCCATATAATGCATTCTTATTATGGTTTTTTGATTTATTTGCTTAGCTACATTCCCCTCTCCCCCCTTACATCTAATATCACTATGCATGAAGTATGACTTGTCATACTATAAGAATATATGTATACATAAAGCAGCTAGCTCTGAGCTGCAGTGCTTATGCATATCTTATATATCTGCTTATCAAGATCATGAAGTAAGCAAGGAGGTATAGACCCAGGCCATGATATTCAGGGACAGGGCAAGGTGTTACTTCTAGCATGATTGGAAATGTTGGTGCATCATCACTGCCGATTAACCCCTAACCTCCTTTATTGCATGAATTGGTAACCTGACTGAGTAGTCCCTCATTCTGGGATTCAATTTTTTTCAGTGGTGATCTGATGCAGTCTGACCTGTAACAAGCAAGGCCGCATTTCTCGTGATATTGTAGTAGATGTGGTCATAACTGCTATGTACCCATCATCTATGCATGTCTACGTAACCCCTGTTCTTCTTGAAAACTCGAGTCATGCAATGCATTATTTCGCATTCTTTTCTGTATTTTCCTTCTTTCTAACTAATGGTGGCCAAACTGCACGGGACAAGACATGCACCTAGGAAAACTTCACCGACTGATTTAGGTCGGTCGAATGAGTAAATCCAGACGCTGATTCCAGAGTGTACGAGCATCCTGTCCATTCGCTCGAAGACCTGGCTACCCAGACCCTGGAAGAATTTGTTCTCCCTCACGGTCAGCCTAGCTACCATCGTCCTCTCCTCCCTGAACCAGGCCACTCGAGGAAGCAATGTCAAACGTGGCTCACAGGCTAGTCGACTGGTGTTCCTCCTCCAGCCTAGTATGGCTTCTACTCTGGTCCCTGGTTGTAATTGCGGCCCATAGAGTAATCCAGCGTCTCTTCTTTCATCCACTCCGTCATATTCCAGGACCCTGGAGTGCAGCCCTCTGCGGATGGTACGAGTTTTATACCAACGTCTGGCTGGACGGTCAGTGGTGCAAGACATATCCAGAACTGCATAAAAAGTACCGTAGGTAGCACCTTGTCTATACTTCGACCGACTCAACCAATGCTGATCTGTCTACATAGGCTCTCCCGTTGTCCGGGTCGGACCCGATCATGTTCACGTCAAGGATATTGATACGTATGAAACGTAGGTGCACCCATCGTGCTGTCTCTACTCCGTGCTCTTGGTAACGGACTGCCAACAGAATCTTCCGCAATGGCACGGATTTCTACAAGGACCACACATTCTACACCTGTGCCGACAACGACGGATCCATCTTTTCGCTGAGTGATCGGGACGAGCACCGCGCGCGACGGAAAGCCCTCAGTCCCCGCTTTTCGAAGCAGGCAGCCGAAGCCGATGCTCCCGGGATTTTGCACCAGCTTCGGCGCATGGAAGACTTCATGGTTCGACAGTCAAGGCAGGGGAAAAGCTGCAATATCAACGATCTGTTCCGGGCGTTTGCAGTGAGTGTGTCTGCACAAAGTCAGTGCTCATCAACTGACCTTTCGTGGTAGATCAATGTCGTAGGCAAAACGCTCCTTGGTGACTGCGGTGACCTGGTTGAATATGAAGAGACCAAGCCTGAGCTGCTCGATACCGTCGACGGATTGTCTGTGATGATTCCCACGCGTGAGTTGTCCAATTTACAAGAAATCAGCAAGGACTGACTCAACTGGACTGTATTCTTGCAGTACGATTCTTTCCCTACCCGGCGGCCGTCAACAGCATCGTCCCAACCTTCATAGCAGACCGGTTAGTTCCTACAGGTGTGCTCAATTTTAAAAAGGTTCGTATTTCCGGTGACGGCACTGAAGCGTAAGACTCATATACAACCGAACCGCTTCTGACTGTTCCCAGACATGCGAGGCCTATACAAGGTCACGAGTGGACAAGCCCGTCCGCAGCGACGTTGAGCGCAGCAGTGCATCAGTCATCGAGCTCTTGGTTGCTCATAGCTACGATACCACCGGAAAACCGCCGACGCTCGACTATCTGGCTGCAGAAGCCTTTACGTTCATCGATGCCGGGGTCGATACCGCAGGTAGGACGCTGGCGGCAGCAGTGTACTACATTCTCCGGAATCCGAGGATACAGAAGAAGCTCAAGGACGAGCTGGACGAGTCGGACGCGTGGAACTCGGGGGACCTCGAATTCGACGTGCGAAAATTGGGGAGTTTGCCCTATCTGGTGAGTTCATCTCTTCTTTTCGCACTGTCTGCCTCCGGATGTACAGGCTTGCACTGACTGTGATTGCAGAATGCGATCATCAAGGAGGCGCACCGGATCTGGCCAGCACTCCCTGGGCCGCTGCCTCGTGTGGTTCCTCCTGAGGGATTGCAAGTCGGTTCGTACTTTATACCAGGTGGGGTGAGTTATCCCTCTCTTGGATGTTGAGTCTAATCGATCCTACTCTTTCCTCAACGGCAGAAGCTGATAAGTTACAGACCATTGTATCCGCCACCCACCACTCACTCCACTTCGACGAGGAGATCTTCCCTGAACCCAACGAGTTCAAGCCTGAACGATGGCTGCAAAATAACAGAACGGATCTCGATCGGTATCTCAACCCCTACAGCCGTGGTAGTCGGGCCTGTATCGGAATCAAGTAAGTAGTGGACTCGGTGATTGTTCGTACAAGGTCCACTAATGATAAGCAACAGCTTGGCCCAGATGCAACTCCAGTTGGCATTAGCTGACATTTTCCACCGTCTTGACCTGGAATTATGTGAGCCGATTCCATCGGTTTTGAGCTGGAAAGACCATTTCGTCGCGGAACCGACCAGCCCCATTCATATCCGCGCGAGGCCCAGGCTGTCTCCGTGAGTGTAAGGCAGGCTGTCCTTTTCCCACTGATGTGCGATGAGAGAACGGATGCTTGGCAGGATCATATTACCTAGAGTGTCTCCTCGAATCTAAAAGCATCCCTCCCCGAGGCCCATTCACATCGTATAAGTCCTTGGCATAATTCTCTTACGACACCAAAGAATTTGGGCAGATGTGACGTGAGTAATGGACCAGGAACTTGGTCAGGACGATCACCAGGCAGCTCTAAATGTATTCCCAGTTACTCAGCCTAGGTCGTAAATGTTAAGAAATGGTGACTGCGTGCTGGGAAAAAGGCGAAACCACAGACTCCTATTCAGCCCTCTAACTTGAGAACCTAGCTCCCTGGCTTCGAATAAATCCGCTCTTATGGGACTGGGTCGAGGTAAGGCTGTTCACCGACTACAGTCTACAGCAAAGTGCAAAAGCAGCCGTTGTCCTTCGACAACGGCACCAAACCGGGCCAATAAGTCAATTATTCGTTTCGAGAATTCATTAGAGCTTTGAGCTTCAATGTAGGTCGTTGGTGCACTCTCTTAGCCTTGTCTGTCTTTTCCTGGAGAGGTGCGTCTTCAAGTGGGCAGCTGCCCTGTTTACGGTTCTACATGATACATTTTCTCCTCATATTCGTTATCCATTGGTAACTGACAGATGTGTAGGGTATCTGCAGTGTCACATACCACCTCAAGCAAGGTGAATCTTGGACATCTAGCACACGTCAAGTTGTGTCCTCTTGCCTATCCACATGCCTCACTGTGTGTCTATCTCAGTAGCGCAGGCACACCGACATGTGTAGGTGGCAGATAGTGCGTTGAGGTGCGGGTCTCAAGGATAGACTAGATACATTGGACAATGATCTGAAGCATGGATACTAGTTCAGTTGTAGTCAAACCAGCGGTGTGCTTCCGCTATTACCTCTGCAGCGGCGCCCTTACCCTGATTTGTTAGATCATCCTAGTTTATTTTGATCCTACTTATATGCAGGAAACGGTTGTGGCTACAACCAGGACATGCATATCATATCCTCTTGAGACACATGTGGAGGCAAAAGAAGGCGTTATTGCATGATCAGTAGCTCCTTACTGAACTCGGCCGGCAGTGATATTCTGGATGAGACAAGAAGATATCGATGGAGAGGAGTAGGTATGGCATATTGATTCAGCTGGATATCGCATACTAGATCGGTTCAATTGCCGGCCTACTGAACGGAAGTCTGCCCATGAGCTCATACATTACCAGATGCGTCTTTGTCTTTCTCTGTTTCTTTCTTTGTCCTACCACGTCATCATCGTTTCCTTTCTCCTGCTTCGAGGTGGAGCTGCTGAATGAAAGTAATAGCACCCTTCTTGTCGGTGTGTGATCTCCTCACTGGAGTTGATGCATATCTCAGCCCTAGAGGGTAAATGACTCCATTTTCATGTTATGCTTCAGAGACCATGTTCGGATGTCCTGTACCACTATGGCGATTCCGACCTTGCAAATATAAAGGCACAATCCTTCCTTTCTCTTTGCTTTTCATATCATCGTCTTTCCGTCTAAGCATTTTATCACTTTATTCTAGTCCATTGACGCCTGTTTGTCTCTTTTTCCTGCTCTCACACGAAGAAGGCCTTCTTTTACTACCAATATGACTGTGTCCAAAGCTGCGAGCAAGCCTCAAATCCAGCGGGTTCCCGCCGGTGCCGACCCCGACATGCTCGGCCAAATCTTTGAAGACGACGGGGCTGCTATCGTCGAGGGCCTGTTTTCGGCCGACGTGATCCAACGCTTTAACCAGGAACTTGACCCCTACGCAAAGGCCGCTGTAGACGGGGTGCATACGATGTATAACTTTCGGGTTCCAGCACACTCCAAATATGTCGCTGGCCTGCCAACGATCAGCAAGACCTTTCGGCATGAGATTCTGAATAGTCCCACTCTCCATGATCTGTGCAGAAGTACCTTCAAGGCCACTGGAGACTACTGGCTTACCGCCTCCTTTCTGAGGGAGTTGAGCCAAGGACACGCTGCCCAAGACTATCACCGCGACGAAAGTACACACCCTCTACTTCGCCACCAAAAGCCTGAAGCGCCCCCTATTACGCTCAGCATCATTATTGCCTTGACGGATTTCACCGAAGCCAATGGCGCGACACGGGTCATTCTGGGAAGTCACAGATGGCCAGAGATTGGCACGCCATCTGATGACCAGGCCGTGCGGGCCGTGATGAAAGCCGGAGATGTCCTTGCTGTGAGGCAAGGTGTGGTCCATGCCGGGGGCGAACATCGTGGACAGAGCGCCCAGCCACGACGGGCTGTTCTGGCTTACTTTGGAAGTTGCCAGCTCACTCCATTTGAGACTCATATGGCAATGCCCCGTGAACTGGTTGAGAGTATGACCCCTCTTGCTCAGCAAATGATTGGCTGGAGGTCCGTGAAACCTGCGTTACCGAATATGTCCGGACTCCATACTGCCCGAATCCGACTGCTTGAGGATGAACTGCAGTTGAAATCCAACCAGAAATTAGACAAGACGGTGTGAAATTAGGTCTAGGATTTGGCACGATTTCTTGCGCGAGAATCAGCGCATCATTGAGTAGTTAGTTCTTGAGTATCATACCAAGCTTTACATAGAATGACTGGTGAGTGAATGGAAATTTGTTAAGGACCATGTTTGGTCAGCTCAGATATCACGCATTTTTCGGTCAGCATCACCTGCCTATATTTAATGGTCTCTCCAAGCATCTTTAATTGGATTGATAGAGTTCCTGCTCGACCAAGCGCCTTTGATCCCTTCAGTGCATTACTTCTTGTTCTGGCTTGGAACCAAAGACTCATTCTATAGCAATCTATCCACCTTTCACGCAGAGGAGATATTCCCTGGCGCAACTTCATGCCACCAGGTGGACACTAGTCTTCCAGAATCCCTACCTTTCCGCGGCTGGTGTGGTCTGAAATCATCCGCGGCTTGCCTTTTCCCACGGAAGCTTACATGCCGTGGAAAGAGAATGTGAGGGTCTGATCGACATCCTTCGTGTGGCTTGGATAATTTGATTTTTCCAATCTGAAGCCGTTGATTTTGAACCCTTAGTTCCTAAACGAGGAGATGCTATTGTTGAGACGCTTGATACCGGTGCCATGGGACCTGATATACCGCAAACAGACTTTCTTGCTTAGGCCTGAACCCCGTCTTCGCCAGGCCCGAGCGAATGACAGATCGTGGGGTAATAAGAAAAGTCAAAGCTTATCCCGCATCACAATCTTCCGGAATGTCTTACCCCCTGGGCCTGTTGCTCGTTGAGGTGGGCAGAACTTGCCATGCGGGGTCCCCAGAAAACCCCCTGCTCCACTTCGAACATATATGAAGCTTGGTTCCTTTAAGGCGAGCTTCCTGAAACTCATCTGCTTCACTCGTGTCAAAAGAATGCTGCAAGGAAAATCGCTTCGTGTGGCCCAAGTGCTTCTCACAGTTGCACCGGCCTTCATCTCTTACGGATACAATCAAGCGGGATTGGGACCGCTCGCTACTCTGCAGACATGGTATTTGCGCCAAATAGAATCCGAGTGAATTGAAGACGCCAGCTTACAAATGCCCAGGGTACACGTATTCCCGGAAATCGACACGATCAACACCCAAGGTGACATCAAGGCCGAAAACTCGACCAAAAAGGGCGCAGTCATCGCCGCTCTTCAGCTCGGGGCGCTCGTGGGCTCCCTCTCGTGCATTTCCTTTGGGGACCGGCTTGGCCGGCGCAAGACCATCTTTCTGGCCGCGATCATCACCATTATCGGCCAGCTGTTGCAGACCTCATCGTACGGTATCATTCAGTTTGCACTGGGCCGGGTGATTCTGGGCGTCGGGGTTGGGCAGCTGAGCGCGACTGTTCCCGTGTTCCAGGCCGAATGTAGCTCGGCAAAGCATCGCGGGCAGCATGTCGTGGTCGATGGCATATGCATGACCCTAGGGTTTGTGCTGTGCAACTGGATCGACTTTGGCTTCAGCAAGACATCGGGTGAAACTCAATGGCGCGTCCCACTTGCACTGTCGTTCGTCTTCCCGCTGACTATCCTGGGGACTGTCTTTTTGCTTCCGGAATCGCCGCGGTGGCTTGTCCTGGTGGCCCGCCGCGACGAGGCGGCCCACAGCCTGGCAGCTTACAAGGGCCTCGGAGTGGAAGATGAGGCTGTGCAGACAGAGATTGCAAGCATCGAGTCATCGTTGGAACTCACGGAGCAGTCCAGCCGTCTTACCCTGCGGGAGCTGTGCCTCGGGGAGGATGAAGATCGCCTTCTGTACCGGTTCGCACTGTGCATGACCATCCAGTTCTTCCAGCAGATGTGTGGTGGTAATTTGATTTCCACCTACATCTCCACGATCTTCGAACAGAACCTCAAGCTGGGCAAGGACCTGTCGCGGATCCTGGCCGCCAGCGCGTTAACATGGAAGACGCTGTGTAATCTCATTCCCTTCTTTGCCATCGACCGTCTCGGCCGGCGCAAGCTCTTCATGTTCAGCGGCACTGGCATGTGCATGTGCATGATGGTGTTGGCCATCACGACGAGTTTCCACTCCCATGGAAAATCATTGTCCATCGTCTCTGCTGCGTTCATCTGGCTCTTCAACTTTTTCTACCCCATTGGCTTCTCCGGCGCCAACTTCGTGTACTGCACCGAGGTGGCCCCCATGCGATTGCGCGTCGCCATGGCCTCTGCATCCACTGCTAACAAGTGGTTATGGAACTTTGTCGTGGTCATGATCACCCCCGTCGCGCTCGATACAATCGGCTACCGGTACTATATTGTCTTTGCGGTGATCTCGGCTTGCATACCTGTCGCGGTGTTCTTCTTCTATCCGGAAACGATGGGCCGCAACCTGGAGGCCATGAACCAGGTGTTTCGCGATGCCCCGTCCGTGTGGCATATCGTGGCAATGGCGAGGAAACTCCCCCAAGGAGATGTGGCTGGGTTTGATGTGCAAAGCGGGGAGGAGAAGCTGACTGTGGAGCAGAAGGAGCATGCTTGATTGTCTTTCTTTTTTCCCTTTGTCCCAAACCGTCTATCCCGAAATGTGAATAAGCGCTACAATGATACGCAACCAGGACCTGGCAGATGAAGCCACTTGTCTTTGTATCGGTCACGTTCGGTCCAAGTATAGAAAGAATCTAAACCAATAGTGGACAGGCTTTTTCTGCGTAGGTACCTCAGCAGTGTATTTTGGCCACGATGTCAATTCCATGGGGGTCGTTCTCTTGCCTTTGGAGCCGAATAGTGTCTAGACAGTCGTCCTCGTGTTAGAAATAGAATGGCCAAGAACGAACCTTAGTGGCTCTCGAGCGTGAAAACGCTGTGTCGAGATACTTGATACGACAGAGTAATTCCGTGGAATGAGACGACACCGCGATGTGCTGCGACGGAACATAACTTGCCGCGGAACAGGGACAGTGGCATGTACCATCTACGAAAAGACATGACGGTTAGTATAGCTGTTCGGTCAACTGTAGAGGCTAGTGCTATATTAGTGAGGCATAGACAGCATCCATTAGAACGGCTCGAAGACAAGTCCAAGTTCAATATTCACTAATGCGAATTACCCGCACTCTGCACACAATCATGTCCCCAGCCTGCGCCATACCACCCGTGGAGTACAGTCCTGCCAAAGCTCCATTACTGCAGCCCCTAGAATACACCCACCTGTCCAGTAGAAAGACGCTACCCGCTGTCTGGATGAGAGCAGGCACGTCCAAGGGTCTGTTCCTCCACCGGCGTCATCTCCCGGCGTCCACTCACCTCTGGGAGCCGATCCTGCTGTCGGCCATGGGGTCCTCGCAAGGCGACGGCCGGCAGATTGACGGCGTGGGCGGTGCATCGTCGACGACGTCCAAGGTTGCTGTGGTGGAGGGGTCAAGCCGCCCTGATGTCGATGTGGAGTATACATTCGTACAAGTGGCCCCTGACCAACCGCGTATCGACATGACAGGGAACTGCGGCAATATTGCCTCCGGCGTGGGCCCGTTTTCGCTAGACGAGGGGATCGTGAGGGCTGCGCCGGGACAGAAAGAGGTTAGCGAGTCCCCTGTCCCGTCTCTCTTGGTCCATGTCCACATTTCAATACTGATCTCTTGCGATACAAGATCGACATTCGGACCTACAATACCAACACCGGACAACACATCGTGGAAACCGTCCAGGTCGCCGCGGACGGGTCCTTCCAAGAAGAGGGCGAGTGCCGGATCCCCGGAGTCGCAGGCGCATCCAGTCCCATCCGATTAGCGTTCCTGAGCCCCGGTGGCAGCATGACGGGCCAGCTCTTCCCAAGCGGCGCGCAGCAGGAGACGTTGACCGTCCAGTCGCGCACCGTCGGGACGTTCGACGTGCGAGTCAGCCTAGTTGACGCCGCCAACCCGTTTGTTCTCGTCGACGCAGCTTCCCTGCCAATGCCACTGCCGCCCTACACCATATCGCCCACTGGCGACAGCAACAGCAACCCCAACAATCCGGCATTCCTGTCCGTGGTCGAGGACATCCGCCGGGAAGGCGCCGTGCGGTTCGGGCTGGCCGCTGATCCGCAGGCGGCGGGCAAGGTGCGCGGCACTCCCAAGATCGCCCTGTTGTCTTCGGCGGCGGAGAATGACGAGGCTGATATCCGCGTCCTGGCATTCACCATGGGGAAGCCCCATGCGAGTCTGCAGCTGACCGGTGCGGTGTGTGTGGGCGCAGCAACAGTCATCCACGGGACGATTGCGTGGGAGTTGGCCCGGAAGGGGAAACGTGGCACACGGCCCAAGCATGGGATGTCGGTGGGCCATCACCAGATTGCGCCTCCATTGCCGGTGGGCATTCGACATCCGGCCGGGGTGATCCCCGTGGAGGCTGTGTTGGGGATGGACCATAAGGGTGAGGTTAGTGTTGATAATGTAGCGGTCTTTCGGACGGCTCGGCGGCTTTTTGAGGGGAATGTGTACTATCATGTATGAATGAGTTACCCAGTGCACGAAGGACAAAGCTAGCTTTCTATATCTATTAAGAACCTCACAATGGACTAGACTCGGAGTGAGTTGACAAATATCCTAACTCATAAGACCGAATTTGGGAAGAATATATCCTACGCGCCTTATGACGGATTCCATCGCTGAATTGCAGAGGCAAAAGGTAAAGATCTTAAAGCAATTAATCACCAAACACATTGTCCTGTGGAGACCCGTTAAACCCGAACAGCATATCATCGAATGGCACATAAGACATTGGCTCCTGAGCAGATGAAGGCATGGACAGAGTCGAAGCACCCTGGGCTGTAGGGTGAGCCACAGCAGAGCCGAAAAAGGGCTCCACGGTTTCGTAAAAGGGCTGCTCCTCGGCGGGTCTGGGCTGTGTGCGAATGAAGCTTTGAATGATCATATCAATGTCCAGTTCGGACACCTCGATATCTGGCAGAGGCTCCAACCCCAGTGGTCGTCCGCATGGAGAGTCCCCTCGACTCTGACACTGCTCGACCGTGCTTTGCTCAGCCTCGGCGGGCACGGCGGGGTGACGATCCAAATGAACGTCCATGCGATCCATCAAGTGCAGGATGACGTTGTGAGCTCTCCGCACGGCCCAGTTGGTCTCTTCGTTTTTCTGGAAGATGTCAAGACAGGTGCGGAGACTGGAATGGGCTCGACTGGCACCTTCTCGCTGCGCCGCCACTCGAACAAAGATCGTCGCCGCTACGTACGTGGCGTACGAGATCAGGTACGGCGCTCGTCGGATGGAGAAGGTGTGGTCGTAGGCTTGGAGTAAATGCTGGATGCTGGATGCCGCTGCCGTACAAGTGGTGAAGGAACTCAGGGCCACTGATGGGTCTGCGGTGTGCAGATGGCCTTCGGAGACAAATGGTCGATGGAGAAGAATGACCAGCACGTTGTACAGCGCCAGCAGAGAAAGGACATGAGGGGGCGGTACCGCGCCGGTGGTCTCATGGTCGAACCGTAAATGGTCTGGGAGGGCAGCGTGCCAGTTCTTCAGTTGCCCGTCCAGTGTATTGAGAGTCGCGATGAGATCATGGGGCGACCGGTTTGAGCTTCTTTCCGAGTAGACCTTGTTTAGGATCTCGTTGAGGATGAGCGACAGCTTGCAGAGCTGCGTGAAGGTCGACACGCTATAGGCCGGAGACCCGGGATACGACTGTACATCGGAATACGCAAACGGCTGCCAGGGCTCCAGCTCCTCGAAATGGTCCAGGAAAGACAGCAGGACCTTGGTGTCAAAGTGCTGTAGGCTCGCCGGGCGCCCTTGATACAGAGACTGAATCTTGTCGACCACAAAGGCGCCCCAGAAGACGCGCCGACGGATCTCTAGATCCTCGCCAGAGAGCCGGCGCATGTTGGGAAGCAGCGTAGCATCCACATGCATACCGAGATCGATGATCATGCGAAACGCCGTACCGGCATACAGCCACGCTGCACTACGCTCATCGCCCAAAGCAAACAGAGAGCTCGTCATGACCAGCAGTGCTTGGATCGTGGTGATTTCACTCCGATCCAAAGCACTTCCCAGCAGTTCCTTCACCCTCATTCGAAATGTCCACCCGGCCGTCCGCGCATCGTCCGGATCCTTGCGCACCTCCGGACGGTTGCTGAACTTTGATGCTCCAAAGTAAATCGCGTTAAGCAGTAGTTTCGAGAAATAGGGCCCATTGGTGGCCATGTCGCGCATGAAAGCTGGGCGATAGGTGATCAGGAAGGAGTGGTGCTGCCGATTCCAGTGTAGGGATAGCAGGTGCATTCCCAGCTCCGGGTCGACGCCATCAAAGTCTAGCTTTCCTTGTCGAAAGTTCAATTCCTCCAGTTGCCCTACGTCCTGGTGAGTCTCATTGTGATCCAGTGAGGCGGCTGATGGTGTGACCGAGAGTCCGAGACTTACTTTGATAAGCAGCTTCCCCCATGAGCTGCTTTCGGATGGGCTCCACAGGACCAGAGTAATCGGCCAGCTGCATCTGGTCGTGCCGGTTCATCCGAGCATCATCAAACAGGGTACTCGTCAGGCCATGGTAGCTGGAATCTCCGTTGGCCGAAACGAACATGCCCGACACCACGGACTGGGGATGGCTTCGTTTCCCGACTTCGGACTGTTCCTGGACCTCTCCGCCAGGCTGAACTTGGGTATCCTGTCGGGGAGCATCTTGCACAGGGCTGGGACCGCTCTCCCCGAGTCGTTCTCGAAGCTGCTGATTTTCGGCCAGCAGCCGAGCAATCCGGGCATTCGATGGCCTTGCAACTGTTAGTGCCTTTGCTCTCCCTTGTCTTTTGCGCGGATTTGCCGGCGGCGTACCTTGGCCGTGGAGAACTGGTCATGTAGACACATTCTTTTCCATATCCCTGGCAGTTGGAGCAGGTCGATTTCTCGTCGCAGCGCAACTTGACGACTTAGCGACGTGTGGCGAACAGTCAGGCCGGAATTCGAGCTCACTCACCTTTCTGCGCCGACAAAACGTACAGGCCTTGGCGGCTCTTCGAGAACGGGACGGACGTCTTCTTTCCATGGCTTGAAATTCTTGCTGAAGAGCTCGGAGGCGAAGATCAGAGCTGGCTGAAATGTGTTTGAAATCCAACGGTATCATTATTCCGCGGCAAGTTTCCTTCCGTCCGAATCTCCCCACTGCCCGTTATAAGAATAGAATAAGATGGAATAAGGACCAGAACCAGCCTTGAGACATGTCATTGGCCACCAACTTCCGAACAATGACTCAGCCTGTGCCAGACAAGCCAAGTTCACTTCAGCATCATATTCGTACCCCGCAGTGGGTCTCTTTAATTGCCGGCGGAGTTGCTGGGGGCGTGGAGGCAGCAGTGACGGTCAGTCATGCATTATCATGGTCTGATTCAAGCACCCTTACACTTACGTTGACGAATTCCCATTCAAGTACCCGTTTGAATATGCGAAAACCCGTGTTCAACTCCTGCAGGGCCGCACGGCGGTCACTTCCTCGAGTCCGCTGCACCTGATCTTCAAGGTTGCCCAGCAGGAAGGCATCAGTGCTTTGTATACCGGTTGCTCCATGCTCATCATGGTCAGTTTTAGCATCATCTGCCGCGCAGTCACTCGATTCTAATGGTTGCAGGGCACCACCGCCAAAGCGGCGGTCCGATTCCTCTCCTACGACACCATCAGAAATTCTCTATCCGATGAGCACGGGTCGCTCTCGCCAGCACGTGGCATTCTCGCCGGTGTCGTGGCAGGAGCAGCCGAGAGTGTACTGGCAGTCACTCCGACAGAGAGAATCAAGACAGCGCTGTCAGTAAGCATGAGCAACCCTTCGCCCGAACAGACACGGGGACAGTCTCGCTGATCCGAGGGGCAAAAAGAGTCGATGATGCCAAGCACGCCAAACAATTCCGGTCAAGTACGCACGCTGTGCAGGTGTTGGTTCGCGCCCATGGGATCATGGAACTATACCGAGGCCTTATCCCCACGACACTCAAACAATCAGCAACCTCTGCAGTGCGGATGGGGACCTACAATATCCTCAAAGAGGTGGCCAAGGCACAGGAACTGGCCCCGAGTGTCTTCACGACCTTTGGAATGGGAGCCCTCGCTGGGGTCGTCACGGTCTACGCGACGCAGCCTTTTGACACTGTTAAGACACGGGCGCAGGGCGTCCAGGGGGCAGGCCTCGTCGAAGCAGTCCAGAGCGTGTACCACGCGCATGGAGTCCGGGGGTTCTGGAAGGGCAGTACTATGCGGCTGGGAAGGTTATTGCTCAGTGGCGGCATTGTATTCTCCATATATGAGCAGATGACATCGATCCTACAATAGCCTCGGGACCCATTTCGCGAGATCAAAGTGAGTGTATCGTCGTTCGCCGAGCATAAGGAGCAATCGTTCAGTGGGTCTACTGGGATGCAGACAACAACTTCTGTCAATAACGACCAGACTTGTTAGATTGCTGAGATTCGGTATTTAGATCCTATTATGGTCCGTCTCCGGTCTCCTTTTCGTCTACAGACTTGATGCTAGTGGGCTGAACACTTTGAACCTGTTACTTGCTTGGCAGTGCGTATCTATATTGGAGGGAATATATCCAAAAGCAAACTCTTGCAACGAGGCGTATATAGAAATCTAATACCACTAGGCTAAAACGGTGTCCGGACGATGTACTCCTTAGTCGAGGGAATTACATGTCCTCGTAGTGGTAACAGCCTACAAGGGATGTATAGCGCTCAACTGCAGCCTCTTCGTGATCACCTTTATCTACATAGTTCCTTATGTACCCTCTATCTCACAAGGATCACACCATCTTCCAATACAGCTGGCTACACATTCTCATACTTTGCAAACACAGTCTTTTCCACCTCGGCAAACTCACGCATGATAGTCTCTTTCCGCTTCTCGGAGCGTGGAGTGATCTTGCAGAGATATAGCTTCGCAGTAATCAAAAAGCGTTGCGAATACGCCGTGACAGGGCTGATATCAGTCTCAATGGGTTCGCTAGCCTCGTCCACAGCCTTTTCAAATTCGAATGCCCACAGCAGCTTGGAGATCCCGAGGAAGATATTTCGCTCCCCGAGGTGTATCCCCGGGCAGAGACGGCGCCCGTTGCCGAACGAATAGTGGTCGCGGTTCTTATAGTCGGCGGAATTCGCATACTCCGAGGCCAGCATGTTGTAGCCTGCATAGTGGTCTGGATCAAACACGTCGGGATTTGGATACCGTTGTTCGTCGTGGTGGATATCCCAGACGCTGGTGAAGATGGCGGCTCCTTTGGGGAGAAGCTTGCCGTCAACCCACTGGTCTGAGGTAGGTATCACGGTTAACCATTGCAACGGTTCGAAAGAAAGCAATCAGCTCTTACCTTCGGTAAGCACATGGGGGAATCCCAGGCCGCCGACGGAGCGCCACCGCTGTGCTTCCTTGACCACCTGGGTTACGTACGGTAAATCCGCGAAATCAGACCAGGTGGGAGTCCGGCTCTCATCCACCACGCGGTCGATCTCCTCCTGGGCCTTCTTCTGGACCTCGGGAAACTGGACCAAGGCATGGATGCACGAATTGATGACCGAAGAAGAGGTATCCGACCCGCCCTCCATCACGACGCCGCCCAGGAAGTAGAGCTGATGATTGCTGAGCCCGAGCTTCTCGTTCTGATCGAGAACCCTGTCCATGAAGCACTTCAGACTGCCGCTGGTCTGTCGACGGCGCATGACGTGGCGCAGCATGTCACCGTAGAGACTTTCCATTTCTCTCTTGACTGCCTGGGTTCGGGACCACCAGTTGCCGAAGAATCGTTCCGGGAGGAACTTGAGAAAAGGGAAGGCGTCTACTGGCGGAGTCGCTCCGATTTCCAAGATCGAGGACCAGTGCTCCATGAGCTCATAGAGTCTCTGCATATGAGGTGTATTAAATGACGGCGTCCGCACCCCATAGACTGCACAACAGGCAAAGAAAGTTAGCAAGTCATGACCCCTAGCTGTCTGTTTGGATTCACCCACGGAGACTCATGATTATGCTGTTGCTATATCTTTTGGGATGTAGCATGTGCTCTTCCGGAAACAGGATGAAGTCGCGCAGCATCTGGATGGCTTCGGCATTCTGTGTGTGGATGTGTTCCTTGTCACACTTAGACGCCATAAACTCCTGGTGCAGCAGTTTCCGAAACGTCCGCCATGGCGCGCCAGCATCCATAATCAACAGATGATCGCCTCCTGTAATGGTGCGGGCGACAAATGATTGCGGTCGATTGCTGGATATCGCGCTGTTCTTATCCAATACCTCTTTGATAATCCGTCGATCATTGAGTACAATAATCGTGCCCGACCCAACCTTGAGAGAAAACATGCCACCGTACTTTCGGGCCATTTCAATGAACCTAGTAAGGTGTCAGTCTCAAGTACTCTCCGGGTGCGAGCTTGCACAAGACTTGGTGTGACTGTTCTTACGTAAAGTGGGCGCCTTTGTGAGGAATCAGGTGGGCATTGCCAATGATGGGTCGGGTTGGTGGGCCTTCAAGAGTTTCATTCAAATCAGCCTTGATATTTGATCCGGTCGTCACCGCTTGGAGTCAGGCTCTTACCAGGTGGAAGGTTCCTCTCTCTACGGCCGACGAAGAGGAATACATAGAGGATTCCCAGGACGGCAAGGATAGCCGTCAGATAGAGAATAGGTAGCGACATAGTGAGTCGACATGCGAGAGAAGCATGTGTAGTGCAGAAGGGTCCCTTCATGGTATTGTTACTAGGTCCATGCCAGCTAATTCTAAAGACGTTTCCTCCTCGCCTCAAGACAAGTTCCGGCTCAGTTCGTATGAAAAACCTTTCCCCACAGTTTGGGGAAAAGACCGGTCTCAGAATCTGGGGCTGTGCCCTGTTCGGAGTTTCTACCGCTCGATAGTTCGATAGGAAGACGGCAGTATCGGCGACTTGCCTGGGAAGGAAGTGTCGTCCCTGTTCACCGTGAGGATGGCGGTGACATGCGGGATAGTCAGACATGTAGAAGTCTGGACAGTAAGAGACCCGTATCATGGTGAGTTTAGAGTGTTTCATTCCGAGAGACATGTAGCATTTACTGCCCTCAACACATGCATTCTCGAATAGCAGCATGCAATTTCCGCAGTAGATCCAGCCACAACTTCAGCCAGTAACAGCTGACCTAAAGACCCGGCGGGAACTAACCTATTGAATAATAATACCACTAGGCCAAAAAGGCGTCCGGACGATGTACTCGTCAGTCTAGGGTTTCATATCCATAGTCATAGTGGTATCTTATTCCAACATAACCACAACTGGTCGATGGGGACGGGTAATTGCCCGTTGTGGTCCAGGACCGGGTTAAAGCTTAAGGTAATGACGGATATGGGCATTATTATGACGAATCATGGTTAAGCTGATGTACGTTTCCCCCAACTGGTTACCTATTTAAATACAAGTCATCATGAGTGCACCAAAGACAACTATTCAACAGGGAAAAGGACTTGCTCAACCGCTCTTACATCATGGTGCGAGGTGCCTTCTTATGACCATACTTATAAAGGCAAAAGGGCTAATATGAACAAGGGTTCCCTCGCAGAAGACAACAGCAGACCAACTCTTGCTTAAGCCCCTGTGCTTGTGGTAGGCGCAGGTCCCATCGGCCTGGTGACTGCGTACCACCTGGCGCGGCGTGGAATCCGCACCGTCCTCGTCGAAAGGAATCATCACACCACCAGATGGCCCAAAATGGACATTACCAATGCGCGCTCGATGGAGCTTTTGGCTCGTCTCGGCCTCGCGCAAAAGCTTCGGGAACAAGGTGGGTGGTCCGTCTCTCAGCGCTGGCTCGTTCCTGATTGTTGGGGTTGCTAGGCGTGCCGCAGCAATACTCTCTGAAATGCCTGTTCAGTACAGGACTATCGGACGGGGGAGAAGCTATCGCCGAATGGGTGAGTGGTCTATCTTGCTCTTCCATGCAAAGGGAGGAAGGAAAGGAGCATCAGCAGGAACTTACGCCTTTAGGATCTCCCCTCGCCGGAAAAAATGTGGCAACAGATCCACGAGAAGAATGACGGGACGATGCCCAGTCAAGCTTATTTGCGTTGCTCGCAAAGCATATTCGAGGTCTGGCTCAAACCCATTGTGGAAGCAGAGCCTTTGGTGGAGTGTTTTTCAGGAGTCAAATTCGAATCGCTCAACGAATTGGATGATCGCGTAGAATCGACCGTCACGAAGGTGGACGCCGGGGTTGAATACATCATTTCCAGCCAGTATGTGATCGGCTGCGATGGGGCAGGAAGTCGGGTGAGAAAGTCAGCTGGGATCGAGCTCACTGGTACTCCAATGTATGTGCTTGCCCCCGATGTTTACAGAATATTGACACGAATCCGCATGATAGCTCCGTGCCGACGCTGCTGGTGCACTTCAAGTCCAAGGACCTGGATGTCCTCCATCGACAGGGACAGTTCTGGCACTTATTCCTGTCTCAGGATGCGGTCGTCATCAATCAGGACGAAAAGGATACATGGACAGTGCATATACCCCTGACGCCCGGCGCAGACGAAAACGATCTCAATCCGGAAGAGATGGTATATGCCGCGCTTGGGGATGCTGGAGCCCCACAAAAGTTCAAAATCGACCAGATCCTTGTCACCAGTACGTGGAGGGCCAATCTATCTGTTGCGAACCAATATCGGTCAAGGGGAAAAAGGGTGTTTCTGGCGGGAGATTCCGGTAATTCCCCTTGAGAGCCAAAGCTGCTGTAAATATTGGGACTCACACGGACCAACACAAACAGCACATCAGAATATTCCATTCGGGGGATATGGCATGAACACGGGGGTGGGAGATGCCTATGATATCGGCTGGAAGCTAGCAATGGCCCTCCACTCTCAAGGGGGTGAAGCCTTGCTAGACTCGTACGAGATCGAGCGCCGCCCTGTTGCCCTTCGAAATGTCGCCATGTCCGGCCGCAATGCGGAGGTCCATTTGAAGTATGTCACCTGGGTTCGCCAGGGTACTCCGGGTCTCGTCCGAAGTGATACACTAGAGGGAAGGGAACTCCGTGAGCGCATTCGGGCCCATGTCCTCGCAAACGACGGGGAAAACAAGTCTCTCGGTATCGAGATGGGATATCGACACAGTGGGTCTCCTGTTGTTGTCTATGACAGCAGACCCGAGAAGGAGCCAGAATGGACTCCGCAAAGTTACCATCCTTCCACATGGCCGGGTGCTCGGGCGCCCCATGTCTTCCTCAACGACGGTGTCACTGCGGTCTATGATCTCTTGGGCCCTGACTACACCCTGGTAGATTTCACGGCGGATGGTCTGAATGCAAAGATGTTTGCTACCATCGCGGCTCAGCTCAAGGTCCCGCTATCTACGGTTCATCTTCCGGATGACGCCCATGTCCGTCAGATCTGGGAACGGGACGCGGTTCTGTTAAGGCCAGATTTGCACGTTTCCTGGTGCGGTGATGGGGAGCAGCCTCCAGAGACAAGTGCAATTGAAGATATCCTTCGGATCAGCACTGGGAAAAGATCAATCACCTAGCAGGAGATGATCGGAGACAGCGTATAAGCACTGTATTCTGAATCCTGCCTTGATTGTGGTGGCGGTTTATCTTGGGAACCTAGAGTACAGTAAGCAGCAGCATTGGTGAGCTTTCTAGAAGTGCATATCTAGTTAGGCGGGAACATTAGGTTTACAGACCTAGGCAGACAATATGAACAGTGTCAATCCCAATACTACATAATTCCTTATTACTTGTGCTTGTGCCGTAGGCATAATCCTGAAATCCTAGTTAGAGTGCCTTAGCTGTATATAGCCAACTATCTAAGCACACGAAACAGGAAATCAGAATCATCTTCATGCACATCTTTAACCAGCAGCATTTACAATGATTAGTTGGTGATAAGTAGAGACTGATGAGTCATAGAGATCCGCGGAAAGTCAAAGTGGACCGAGAAAGTGCGGGGAAATGGAATTGCCCCCCCATAGCTCTGCACAGCCAGATGCTTTCAGAAGCTGTTGTCTCTCCTGTAAAGAAGGATAAATCCAACAATCCGACAAGCATGGGCAACAACAGCACCAATTTCGGAGTTCTTTCCGGTTTCCAGTACATCCCCTGTTCGACCGGTTCATCCGGCAGACCCTCCTTCCGACGCGCCTGTGATGAATGCCGGAGGAAAAAGTCCCGATGTGATATGCTCCATCCACAATGCTCTCTGTGCTCTCGGATTGGCAGCAGATGCACATACAGTGCTCGGTACAGGTTGCGAGAGGGAGAGGGCGAGCGAGACTGTCGTCGAAAGTCGGTGACCGCAACGAATACAGCAAAGAACGACCGCATCGCAACCGATGAGGTCGATCTGTCGCTCTTTGATCTACAAAACTTGGAAAACTCTGTCGCTGGGTTGCTGCATTCGTCCGATGGATTACTGGGGCTGAGTCCTTCGGTGGACGAAATGACCGGGCTAAATACAATACCCCCCTCAGCGTACCATTTCGGACAGGACTTTGACCAGCTCAGCGTCTCACCTGACAATCGCTACGATCTACTGGTTCCTCCGTCTCTCGAGGAGGAGCTTATCAACATCTATTTCGACAAAGTTCAAGCCTTCTGTCCTCTTTTCCTCCGTGCCAAATTCAATTAAGACCTATCGCGGCATCACGCGGCCAACCAGGATCCGCGACACTCGAGGTCGTCTCCTGTCTTCCAATTCATGCTTAATGGAATGTTCGCCCTGTCTGCCAGATTTAGCAATGCGCCAGAGTTTATCGGCATCGATCCGACCTGTCGCGATCAAATATTTGTCAAAAGAGCCACCGAGCTCTGGGAGACGATCTCAAAGGACTTCAAGCATTGCCTTCGGACTCTACCATGTCTTCAAGGCCTGATTCTTCTAACCTTCAGTTCTCTTCTGTCCGGCCCTTCGGAAGATGCATGGATTCTGAGCGGCACTTGTGTGCGTCTCGCGTACGACCTGGACCTTCACACGACCGATGCCCACAGACAGCATGAAGGGGGGTCCCCGCAGCAGAACCAGGAATAGTGGGTTCTCCTGGAAGAGAGACGTCGTGCTTGGTAAATGGTCTGGGAGATAGACACCTTCTCCTCCACTCTGTCCCTGCGACCGTTCGCTATCGACAGTCGCTTTGTTCACGTCCTACTGCCGGTGTCGGATCATGACTGGGATAACAGAACTCAAGCGCCGTCGGCCTTGCTCAATGCAAACGGTGGAATGCCATGGAAGCATCTCACCGAGTCGCCAAACCAAAGCGAAAGAGCGTGGTTCCTGGTCTGTCTAGCTGTTCTCCGACAGGCGTACGACGCAGCCGTGCCACCAGGCGCTTCCGTAGAGAGGCTTCATCACGCAGAGGCGGTGATCGGGTGTGCCTTTCTTGCCCTGCCCCGTTCGTTTCAAGATCTGTCCATGTCGGGGGCATCATGGCCCACCAGTCATGTAACGTTCAACTGGATTGCATGTTCTCTGATTGTCCTGAATTGGTATGCTCTCTGCCCGCTGTCAGTTCAACATCTTTTGCTTTGGTTTGCAATGACTGACGCCGTATCTCTGGTCATTCCTAGTGCTCGTACTCTACTAATGCTCAGACAAAATGAGACCCTTCAACCCGCAGATGTTCGGCCCCCTCGGATTTATCTTTCGACTATTATAGAAGTGAACCGCGCCGCGCGGCTTCTATCTCCGCAGCACCTGTCGCTGTGCTCGCCATTCGTGTGCTGTGCCCTCGTTGGCCCGAGTACCGTCCATGTTCCGGACGATCACATCCTCATCGAATCGCAGTCGGCCTCTCTGTGCGCCGAAACCATCAGGCTCGTTCTGTCCGACGTCGCGCGACACTGGTCGATTGGGGGAATCCTTTTAGGTAAGCTACTGCCTGACACCATTTTGTGACCTGGCACTGAGGATTTGGATGTTAGATATTATAGATTACAAGAAGACCAGCAAACCGGCTAGCCCGGCCGGGAGATGCTCTCAAACCCCTTTTACTCCCGAATGGCGGGCCTTGGTGGATGATATATTCTAGACAGCTTCAAGCCTGTCTATCGTCCACTCTTGTCGACTAATCTACATCAGGGTCCTTGAGGCGATTTCAAACCGAGTAAGGATGATTCAATGTTCCTATCACAATCAAGATCACCCCCTCAACTATAAGATTTAAATCTTATAATATCTTGTTATAAATATTGTATTTTTTACCTTTATTAATATGATGATTAATTATACTTTAAAAGTTTAATGGCCGGATTGACTGTGGTTTGAACCGAGCGTCGAAGATCGTTGTATCGGTCATTCCTGGCCTTGTCTGGTTCCAACCTGGTGATGAGATGTTTGCCTCCAGCTCCATTATTGGTCAACAACTGTTTCGATGCCGAGCTTTGGAGACGGCCCCATGAATCCGTCCCGGCCCGACAAGAATCTCGATATTCGACAGGCATTCTTTAGGAGAAGATTGTGTTGACCGTCCGGGAGCTCTATCATATGTATATTAGTGACTAGGAGGTCCTGGCCCCTTCTCCAAAGGTTACAATGTGCAAGAACACAAACCCCATGTCATGACCTGTGGATTATGCATAGTTCACAGTAGCTATTTTCTGTGCTCTGCCTTTAGAAGCAGATACAGTCAGTGACGTTTTCGATGAGATATGGGAAGGGGACAAGTTTGGCAACTCAATTGGAGATGATAATACGTACACCTTGGGCTGTCTCGCGCCATAACGTCGTCCTTGTCCATATGACTGGCATTGGAAGGGGAGCAGCATCCCAGACGACAACAAGTCGGGGTTTGTGGCAGCACGACGAGGAGCTCATTCTCAGCGATGTTGATAGTGAGGGCATCATGCAATACGACTTTGGTAGGCAATATCCCAATGCCTTTCTGAGCTGACCTGGTCAGAAAATATCGGTTGACCCTCCTTGAAGATCAGGGAAATGCTGGCGAAATAGAGGGGAAACCGTGGGTGGGAACGCATTGAAGGAAAACTTTTTCAGTATCTCCAAGATCTGCAGAATAAAGTGGGCCCCAAAGCAGCTTCCTATCCCGGGAACAAGGATGAGCTCTTTCAATCGAGATATTGTCATAAGAATAAATCCAGCTGCGGTCTGTACCAAGTCCAAAACCATTCTGGGGATATGGTGGTGTAATATTAGCCTGTGATGTAGTAGATCAACAGAGTCAGTCTCAATGAGCACGCCAACATGATTTACTAAAAGTAGGGAAACATATTCTCCGACTCTTCATGACGACCAAATGATAGTCTCACATGTCGAGGACCGCGACTGATTATGACCCATTTCCCGGGACCATTCTCCTTGACAGCTTGATCAGGAAACTCAACAGGAATTCGTAGATCAACCGGCTTAGAACTGGAAAATAGATAAGAACATGTAGAAAGATATGTCAAGGCTTGAGACTTTGGGCCCTACACAAAAAGTGATTTGGAATTGCCCGACTCTAGCTCTCCACTAGCTTCAACGCTAACAAGGAGAATTCCCGGTTTTCGAGCGAGTCTACAAGTGGATATGGATTGCGGACCGTGGGAAGAGACGATCTGATACCAATTTGGCAGTTACTAGCAGCTGATGTCTGTGATTAGTGGGGCGATGCATCAACTAGCACATGTCGATCGCCACGATGATACGCTGCAGAACCAATGGTACAGAGTAGTTCGGGCGATCCCTCTGGTCGACTGCAAGCGAGGCAAGTTCTTCCATTCCTTCGGAGACTGCGGAGCAGATAGATATTCAGGCACAGCCAGCCACGAGGCCAGAGAACGTGGCCGTCTTTCGCAGTCTGTTGCTACGCTGGGGCCTTTGGACTGAGTCATATGGAGTCTAACATGTGGAACGCTTGATATATCGGCATCTTCCCCCCTTGAGCGAGCATTATTCATGATATCTGCCTCGGTCGACGCCGATCGATCGATCCAGCTTTGTATTAGTCCTTTGTAGAGGGGCAAACCCGGCAAAGTCAGTTTAACAATGGGTTCCACGTCTTGCAGGGGTCTGCCCGGGGTCTGTTCAGTATCTACATTGCAGCTAATTCCCGGTAAATGATCATAGTGCTATTGTGGGTGTCCTGTATTGGACCGACAAACCCCATTTGTTACTATTAGTATTGACCAGTCGTCCCCAGCTCTTCTTTCTCCTTTCTTTTTCCACAATGTTACACTCACTCAGTCACTCGCTCATCTTTCTTGCTCCTTTGTTTCAGCCAAACTTGTCATTATGGGGTCGGAACTGGGAGTCACGCCTGACTCCAAGCCGGAGCCTGTATACAGTCCGGTTAGCATCTGGTGGGCCACCTGGGCAGGCGTTTGGACACTCTTCGTCGCCAGTGGCATGGCCTATCTCATCGCTCGTCGGGACACACCTATTCTGCGCATCCGAGGCCTCAGCCTGTCGCTCTCTGCTGTCGTTCTCCTCCATTTATATTACGTCCCTGTCCAATTCGGCACCATGATTGGCCCCATCATGCCTGGAGATGCTCAGTTCTGGATCATGGGCACCTTTCTACCCTGCGGAATCGCTCTCTTTCACGCTTCCAACAGTCGTTTCCTTCACGTTGCAAAGCTCCAGCGGAAATACGTTTATAATGATCGTCGACTCGTCGATTCTCCTCCCAACCACAGGAAAAGCGGCTTGATCGGCCGCTTCCAGCGTCTCGATTATAATACCAGGATCCTTGCTCTAGTTGGCATCGGAATGATTGCTCAGGTTCGACCCTCTTTTTTCTATTGCGAGTGGATATTATATCCTTGGTCAAATCTAAGTGATGCGCTAGATCCTTCTCACTGTCATTATGTGGTTGATTTCGCGCAAGTGGCATCCCACCTGGGGGATTCCAGGCACAGAGGTTCACGGGGCCAAAATGGCCCAGTTATCGGCGATGGGCCGGGGTTGGGAGTGGTACGGAGCACCAGAATCGTCTGATGTAGGTCGAAGGGCTAACACTGTCGCCAGGTGGCCGAGTATCTTCTGGCAACTGTTCTGGGCCTGGATATTCGCTCCCATCCTTCTCTGGAAATCTCGCAATATCCGCGACACCCATGGCTGGCGAGTTCAGACCATCGGCTGTGCCATAGCCAAGTGAGTCAACCGCCGAATCATGTATCCTTGTTTCTGTTCTCATTCACGTCGTGTGCAGTCTCCCCGGTGCCCCCCTGTGGCTCATTTCCATCTATGTCCCTGCTTTTGACAAAGTGAACCAAGTCTGGCTGCCTCCGCAGTGGTAAGTGCTTGAGCATTTCGATCTTCTTCCCAAGCAATATCCCCTGATGCAATCCAAGGATATGTCTTTCGATCCTGGTCATGGAAATCTTCACCGTCTTCCTTCCCTGCTGGGAGGTAATGCGCCAGCAGACGCTCCTCAAGGAGACCCTCGACTGCATCGCCCAGTGGGAGGCAAAGAATAAGACCAACAGCTCCGCAACCAAGTCTCTCGCCTCGACTGCCACTCTGGTCGAATCCATAATGACCGGCGGCAAGTCCACCACCGGCTCCGTCCAGACCAACAGTTCTCGCGACAGTATCCTGACAATGGGCGCTCTCGAGTACGCCCTTGAGCGAGACCCCGCGCCTCTCCAGAGATTCTCTGCGCTCAACGACTTTTCCGGCGAGAACATTGCCTTTTTGACCAGCGTTGCCGAATGGAAAGACTCCTTCCCGCCGTCGATCCGGGATAACACCGCGCCTCGGGACAGCAACACCGAGGACTTGATCCGCGAGCGATTCAACCGCGCTTTGCGCATCTACGCCGAGTTCATCAGCGTCACGCACGCCGAGTTCCCCATCAACATCTCGTCTCACGATCTCAGAAAGCTTCAAGAAGTCTTTGAGCGGCCCGCTTGTATCCTGTACGGCGACGAGCGCGAGGTGGTCGATCCCGCCACCCCCTTTGATTCCTTCAAGCCCCCGGCGTCGCCGACCTTTTCGAACAGCTCGCAAAAGGAGCTTCAAAGCTCGGTGCTCGCCATCCATGACCGCGTGCAATACTGGGGGGACGTCCCCGAGTCCTTCGGTCCGACCGTCTTTGACGATGCGCAGGAGAGCATCAAGTACCTCGTTCTCACCAACACGTGGCCCAAGTTCGTCAAGACCCGCACGGCGTCAATAGACTCGGGCCATACGATGCCTGTCTGACTGACTGGATAAACGTTAATTTTGTTCTTTCTCTCTTTTTTCCTTCTTTTTCCTTTCTTATTTTTTATGTGCCATTTCTAATGCGAGAGATATACCCTATTGATGGATGACAAGGCCCATGTACATATACCAACTGGACTGCGAACGAATACTAAATCAACATAATTATAATAGCCCGTCAGGCTTACATTGTTGAACTGATCTGGTTCCACATAAATGTGTGCAAACTAGGCCACCTTTTGTGGCAGAAGAAACAGCAGCTTCACGTATTCCAGTATCTGTACCTGGGAAGATCGGCAAGGGCCTCCCTCCACTGGCTAGAAGCAGTTAACCTCTACCTTTCAGAAACGAATCTAGACCTACAAACTCTCATTCGGAGTCATTCCCAAATTTGAGGCTGTGATCATCGCTGTGGGTCTTGCGCAGGAATGAACGCTCTTTTTTCTGTCTTTGGGGGCCACAAGGTGCGCTCTTGTGGTTCTCGTCATGGCTATTCCTCCTTACATGACTGTTTGAGCAGACTAGCAGACGAAGCAACAAGAATGGTGAAGCAAAAACATACAACAGCGGGGATTCGCTGGTGGTCACCCACCCAACTACTAACCGGCCGGCGTGTGGCTTAAGTACGGCTGAGCGGACGGGAAGCCCTGTTTTCCACACCCTGTGGTCGTATGTGCTAGTTCCCAAGTAAGAGTGATACATATTGGTTAGGTGTTCAAATGGAGGCGAATGAGCGGATGATTTCTTCAGGATACTTGAGCAACTATTAGAGGTGTAATAAGAACTGAACCTACACTCTTTAAGTTCAGTAAGGGTTGGTTGAGTTTTATGGTTTGGTTATGCAACTCCATATCAACACAATATAGGCTGTTTCCACCTTCATCCCACCCCGGAATTATATATCCTGGGATTCACAGTAGTTGGGCCTATTCAAGCTTGAATTTGAACTGGATGCTCGGAACATCCGAGCTATTTGCCGGCATTGAAAAGGTAACATTCCAGAATTCGAAGTTACTACCAGCTGTTAGAAAAAGCACCTTCACCGGAAGAGAAGATCGTAGCTTACTGGATGATATCGCAGGTCCCGCCCACCAGTCCGCAGAAAGAGATCTCGGGAACAGGGTTGGCAGTCCCTCCAACGACCTCGATGTTCAAGCCGTCGACATCGCCAAACCCTGTGATATCACGCTTGGCTCCGAGCGGGTTTGAAGCGAGGACAAAGGTAAATGTGCTAGAGGCGTTACCGAGAGGATATGTCAGATTCAGCGAGTATGGGGCTACCTCGGCCTCCATCGCGGTTTCTGTCGGATACAGGTTGAAGTAGCCGATCGACTCGTCAGAGCGGATCCACTGCACGACAGAGGGGCTGAAAGACCTCGAGTCCTTTGAGAAGCCACCCACGACGCTCTGTTTGAACGAGTCTGTGCCGATGGTCAGATTCGCCGAGAGCCACGTGCTGATGTTTCGTGGCTCGTAGTCCGCCGGGGGAGCATAAGCATGCCCGCGATATGTGTGCTCACCGGGGAAGCGAGTCAACCTTGACATGGCAGAGTTCGGAACGAGCGTCTTATGGAATCCGGAGAGAACCGCGATGAGGGGTGAAATCTCAAAGTCGTCCGCATGCGCCATGGTCCAGATTGGAGAGGAATACTTCCACACCCGCTCCTTGCCTATCAACGTCCACACCCACAACGACATGATGGAGACGTATTCGTTCATGTCGTAGCCATATGAACGGTCCCATGGTCCCGCAAAGTTTCTCATGTTGGAATTCCATAGCAGGGACTCGTAATCCCAAACCTCCGAGATCACGCGCGCCGCGGTCTGACCGATGGTCGAGTTGGTCTGAGCGAGGTACTTGGCGGCGACGGTGAGCGCGTAGATGGAAACCCCAGCATATGTGGGACCGTTGAACTCGGACAAAGTGTGGTTGCGGTCGAAAAGATTGAGAAACTCACGAGCGTCGCTGTCGCCCGCGGCAGTCATATTGGCGTCGTTGAACTTGTGACCGATCCATGAGGTGACCACACTTCTCATCAACCAGGCGTTTGTATAAGCCGGGTACAGATTGTCGTCATTAACGCCGCCAACACGGTAGCTATCGCCTACTGTGTTGTTGTACAGGCTTTCGAGGATCAGGTGCTGGACGTCCGCGGGCAGCAGACCCCTGAACTCCTCATAGATGACGATCAAGGCGGTACCAATGAAGCCCCTCCAGTTGGGATCCCACGAGTTATAAATCTGTTACCTATGAGAATGGCATTCAGGCCTGCGGGCTCACAGAAGCGGGTTGACTTACTACTGGGGAATATGCCGGACTGCCAACAGTTGGCTGTTCGGGATAGACCGTGTAGTCGCCATACCATAGCGAAGACGTGTTCTTCTCTTGGTCGCCGATGACGTTCTTGAGTATCTTGACCGCTTCGTAGACATCGTCCCCTTGGTTTCGTTGGAGCAGACCAACGGAATACCAGACCGTCGACCGGGTCTCGTGAGGGCCCGCTGCGAGAGGGAAGTAAAAGTAGCGCAGGTAACCGGCCGCTGGATCATAAATGTCATCCATCAGAGTCATCGACTGGTCGAAGAGCGCCTTCACATCCTTCTTCAACTCGACCGAGCGCGCGACGCTGCCGCCCAGCAGGCCGAAGCTGAAGAGCGCCTGAAACCAGTTGGCATTGAATCGCATGTCGAATACACTCAGGTTTTTAGCCGAGTACTTCGTCAGGACGCTGCCCTTGATTTATACATTATCATCCCATCTGACTCTCCCCCAGACTCAATGCAACCTTAAACTCCACAGAACCTATCTGCGGAGTAACTTCGGAGATGCCCCGAACACTGTGATAAGACTACTAATCACCGGCAAAGACCGGTATACCCCGGCATGGGTATCAAGCAACCCATAGTTTATGCTCTCGAGCCATCGATAAGGCTTTCTCCCACGTTTCGACGTTCCCCCGCAACTTCTGGTCGGCTAGCAGGACCGATATCTCTGTATTTATTTGGAATCCATTCCCATGAGGCATGTGCCACGCCTCGGATACAATTTTGCAGCAAGAACCTGCATTGAGCTGGAAGATTACACGAGATTCAAAACGTATATACATCTAAAATGGGCGACATAAGCCCAAAACATCCTACGATGCAGACTAAGGAAGGGTCGGAGATGGATGCAGACGAGCTACGACTGGCTCAGATGGGTATGTGACTGCCATTTGTTTCCGTTATGGGAAGATCGAGCGCTGACCATCGGAAAAGGCCACACTCAGGAGCTCAAGCGCCATTTCAGTATCCTGTCGTTGATCGGTCTCGCGTCCACCACGACGATCTCCTGGACTGGCCTGGGACTAGGGATCGTCACGGAAATCAATGCCGGTGGGCCAAGTGCAATCATATACGGCTTCATCCTCGTGACAATCCTGCAGTCCTTCCTTGGAGCGTCCCTGGCTGAATTCGTGTCCAGCTACCCAACCGAGGGTGGCATGTACCATTGGATTGCTGCCGTTGCACCCAGAAGAATGGGCACTTCTCTGAGTTTCATCACCGGCTGGCTGACTGTCTCTGGTTGTAAGTGTTAAGGCCTCGCGAGATTGAACAACAACAGCACTAATATTGCCAGGGATCTTTACCACGGCGTCGACAAACTTGATCTTTTCCCAAGTGGGTATGTGTTCTTGGTCCGATACATCGAGCTAATCCCAAGCTCACAAGAACATAGTCCAGGCACTCTACGCTCTATATCACCCGGACCTGGTGATCAAAACGTGGCAGACTTTTGTCATCTATCAGATTCTCAACATCCTCACCGCCAGCGTGGTTCTATTTGGGAACAAGGTCATCCCAGCGCTGAACAGATTCTCATTGTTCTACCTCCAGCTCGGCTGGCTGGTGGTTCTAACGGCAGTAGTTGCGTGCGCTCCCACCCACCAAAGCAGCGCGTTTGTCTTCAAGAACTGGATCAACAATACCGGCTGGAGCAGCAACGGCATCTGTTTCATCACTGGCCTGGTCAATCCACTGTACAGTCTGGGTGGACTTGACGGCGTCACACACATCACGGAGGAGATGCCTAACGTGAGTGACCAATTCAAATGTGCAGATGAGCAGAACTAATAGAGAATATCCATATAGCCCTCGCGCAACGCCCCATTGGCAATTGCCATCACCCTGACCATCGCCTTTACCACCGGTCTGACGTATCTTATCGGCCTGATGTTCAGCGTCCAGGACTATGCTGCCTTGTCGAGCACAAACACCGGCTTACCCTTGGCCGAGCTCTTCCGTCAGGTCACGCAGTCGGCCGGCGGGGCATTCGGACTGACCTTTATTCTCTTCGTCGCCCTCGGACCATGTGTCGTCTCCTCGCAACTGTCCACCTCCCGCGTTCTCTGGGCTTTCGCCCGAGACGGCGCCATGCCTTTCTCAGGCGCTTGGGCGCGTGTCAGCAAGCGGTTCGGTATCCCCTTCAACGCCCAGCTGCTCGTTGCCGCAGCCAACGCAGCTCTAGGCTGCCTGTACCTCGGCAGCAGCACGGCGTTCAACAGCATGCTGGGTGCGGCTGTCACCATCAACAACATCGCATATCTGATCCCCATCGCCACGAACATGCTCACCGGCCGAGCCAACATGCACAGGGGAGACTTCCACCTGGGTAAATGGGGCTGGGTCGTCAACGGCGTGACCGTGGCGTGGCTGCTTTTTGCTATCGTTTTCTTCAGTTTCCCATACACCATGCCCGTTACTGCTCAAAACATGAATTACACCTGTGTTGTAGTTGGTGGGTTGATCGTCTTGATCCTGGGGTGGTGGTTTGTCGGCAGCGGCCAGTATAAGGAGAAGATTGCCCGTGCAAAGGAGGAGTAGCTACTACCTGATTTTACTGTTAGGCCTGTTGAAGCTTTGCACATATTATGTACAGTTGTATTCCACTGGCTAGTTGAGCTCAAGTCTATCAAATTCAACTCCTTTGACTCCGACTCGTTTACCCAGCCTATTTGGGAAACCACCTACTGATCTTAAAACCGCAGGATGTCGGTCAGGCCCGTGGCGACGAGTATTCATAATGATTAACTTAACGATTGTCAATAGTCAATTATTGATAGGCATTTCCTGTGGAATGTGCCAAGCTTCTCCAGATCCCACCGCAATGGCACGCAGCCATGCATAGCAGAAGCGGGGTCTGCTGAGTCCAGTCGGTACTAGGTCGCTATCCGTGATGGAAAATCAATTATCAATCCTATCCTATTATTGCTGATGGACATGTGCTCGCCGGATTTACCGGATACCGGTCTTTGCCGGTCCTAATGGTTGACGGTAGGATAAAGAGGGTGATCACCGAGCATGGGACTATCATCACCAGGATGGGATAGAGTGGTCATGCGTTCATAAGGTTATTATAATGTCTGAGAGCTACTGTGAGGAGACGTTGGAGCATTTCGAATTGTTCAATAGGTACATTCTGACGACGCGAGGCAATTTTATGATTGTCACAAGCTAGGGTATCTTTGAAGCTAATTGAGGTCTATTAAGAATCATTGTCTACCGTGTCTTGTCCTGGACCAACTGCTGTGATGCGTCTGATCATTCAAGAGCGCCCGGAGCTGGCAGCGCAGTACATTGCTGCTTACATCGCGAGTACGTCTCACTCTCACACGCCTCAACGGCCTATCTGGAGTACGCTAAACGCCACAGAACGCATCGACGCCTTCAAGCCAACGGCGGAACGACCGTTCGTCCTGGGATTGCCCACAGGCAGCAGTCCCCTGCCCATCTACCGCGCGTTGATCGCAGCACACAACACGGGCGCGATCTCATTCCGTCATGTCGTGACGTTCAACATGGACGAGTACGTCGGTCTGCCACGGGACCACCCAGAATCATACCACTCGTTCATGCACGCGAATTTCTTCCGCCATGTCGACATCGAGCCGGGCAACGTCAACATCCTCGACGGCAACGCCGCGAGCCTCGCCGAGGAGTGTCTGGCGTACGAGGCCAAGATCAAGGCGCTCGGCGGCATTGAGCTATTCCTCGGCGGGGTGGGCAGCGACGGGCACATTGCGTTCAACGAGCCTGGGTCCAGCCTGGCGAGCCGCACCAGGATCAAGTCTCTCGCTTACGAGACCATTATTGCCAATGCGCGGTTCTTCGCGGGGGATATGAACGCGGTGCCGCGAATGGCGCTGACGGTGGGTGTGCAGACGATTATGGAGGCGAGGGAGGTGGTCATTGTGGCTACGGGAGCGGCCAAGGCGCTTGCCGTCCAGCAGGCGGTTGAGGGTGGCGTGAGTCACCTTTGCACTCTGTCCTGTCTGCAGCTGCATCCCTGCAGCATGGTGGTGGTGGACGAGGATGCCACGCTGGAGCTGAAGGTGAAGACCGTTAGAGTGAGTGATGCCCTTGTATGTGGAAGGACCGAGAATGACATCGGATGAAGTATTTCAAGGGCGTGGAGCAGACTATCCTACAGAAAGGTCTGAGCGATCAGACGCCCACGACCCCCATTGAGGCTCCATCAGGCTCAAAACCATGGAGAGAGCCGCAGGAAGGCGAATTAACCCCAGATAGCATGTCCTCGCGCATTGAGAGCCCGAACCGATCAGCCACAATCCAGTTCGCGCGCGCATGAAGAAAGCTACGCCATCCAGTCCGAGTACATCAAGTACTGCAGGCTGGATTGGTCGAAGATCTGCCATGACTGATCCAGAGGGGGGTTCATTGCGGGGTCCGCGTTCTCGAATGCATTCTGCAGGTCTGCAGAGCCGGGAGTGTGGATGTTGGCCAGACTGCCTTCCAGCCGGGCGACAAGTTTGTCGCAGAGACCTGGGTGCGGTCCCGTCAGCTGCTTGAGCATTTGCAGGTGGACTCGTATGTTGTTGAGATCTGTCTCCGTTAGCCACGATATTGCACAAATAAAAGATAGAAAAAGATAGAAAAAATCTACCCTACCCTCTGGATCACCGGCACCCCCTTCAATGCCCTGTATGACAATAAGCGCCGCCCAGGTAATCATCACCTGGTCCCAGTTCGACCAGATAGAGTCATCGTGCGAATGCAGCTTCAGCGTCGCTCGCGCCGAGAGCAGCAGTTCGTGCTGGTCCTTGGGCGTGATGTTGTTGGACCACAGATCACAGCCCCGGGCCGGATGATATATGGACAGAACAACCAACCGATGCAGTACATACTGGCGGAACACAAGCTTGACATCCTCCTCCGAGCCCTCGGAGTTTTGAGTGAATTCGACAAGCCATTCGTCAAGCTGCCTCGCCCAGTCCCTGATCACCGCTGCGTCGACGGCCGTAAAATTACTCGTGAGGCCCCCACCAGCCGTGGGGATGGGGATAGGCAGCTGACCGGTGAAGTAGGACCAGATCGTCGGCAGCCCCCTGCCGGTGAAATGCGTTAGACCTGTGTGCATCATCCGCGACAGTCGGTAGAGCTGGTCCCGGTTCGACGTCTGCAGGCCCGGCAGGGGGGCCTCGATCGGTATGACTGGACAGGACAAGTGGAGGGAGGCATGCTCGAGATCGATGATCTGCACGCCGCTGAACAGCTTGCGCCACTCGCGTGATGTGTCGTCAATGTGTGCCGGGCAGTGTTCCAGGATCAGGCGATAGGCGATGGAGATCCAGATCCCTGTTTCACGGACGATAGCCTCCGTCAGGAGCCCCGCCAGCACAATCGCCAGGACGGTCTGGAAGGCCCACTCCTCTGTGTCCTCGGGTGTGGCGCCTACCTCGCTGCCGGGGATGCTGAGTTGCGCGATCGCGTTGCAGACGACGGTGAAGTAGTGCGGCGCGAGCTCTGCGACGTCCCGCGGGCCTCGGACACTCGAGCAGAACAGAATCGAGGCCACGAGGATGGGCTGCGGCGCGGAGAAAGTCTGCTTGCGGGGCATGAAATGCAGTCCTGGCATGCGGTCATGGAATCTTTTTTTTTTCACAGAGTTCAGGTAAGTTAAGACGTCTTGGACACGAGATCATCTCCTCCACTTACGACAGCCAAAGCTCCTTGACGGTGCTCTTACGCCAGATACTTGCTGGAACAGAACTAGGAGCGGTCCTCCGGAGCACTACGACTGCGTCCCACAAGGCGCCTAAGCTGCTGAAGTCCGGCGACAGATCTTCATCAGCAGGTGCGCCATGCGAGCCGCCGAATGCGTCAGAGAGACCAAGTCTTTCTTCAATAATCTGGAGCCTACGGAGGACATCGCCCTTGAAATCATCCTCCTGCGGACCAAGCAGCACACTATTCGGAAGCGTCGCGGCATTTGCCCGTGGCACGAAGATACAAGGAAGACCGGCACGGCGGCAACGACGACACACATCGTTGTCTTCGACGACACATTTCATCTTCTGGCGTCGGCAGTTTACTATGCATCTCGTTACACTATGAACTTCCGCATCCTGGCCTTGGCCGTTGAGGGGGAGGAAAGCAGATGAGGGTACTGACTGCACGCCTTCCGGGCCTTCTGCTCCAGGGCATACTCAGCTCGTGGGCCCCGGTGGCCACCAGAGGATTCGAGATGTGGTCTTTGCATGGCAGACCTTGTCGTCACTTGTCAGGCTTTACAACTCTGCGTATGGTATGAGAATGAGAACCGGCAAAGTGCGGGGGTTTGTCGGGGATTCGGATATCCACCGGTTTTATTCCGACTTTTGCCTGTGGGGCACAAAAGCAGTGATTAAGCGAATATCGGAGGACGAGGAGATAGATAACATCTGTTGGAGTGGGGTTGCAATTGCATGAATTACGATCGACAGTGTAGAGAGAAATTATCCAGATGCACTCCGGTCATCTCCGGCGATTCTGTCCGTCAAGGTCAGGATTGCCGTACCCACACAGCCATAACATAACACTCTGTCGCGTTCACATACACGGTCAGCCGAGATGAAGGATGATCCAGTATCTAGCTGGCGCCATGATTATTATCGTCGGACCATCTCGTCATGTGAACCTCGTGGATAGTCGCGGATTCGCTTTTACTACAGCCACTGTTCCCGTTGTAGGCCATGGCCCAAGCCATCGATGAGCAGCAACTTAACCTGCTAGCTCAAGCCGAGCAGATTGCTCTTGAATTCGACCTTAGTCCTGAGCATGTCAGGCGAGTGACGAGGCATTTTGTCCGCCAGATGAGTGAGAGAGAGAACAACTCCAAGAAACTCCCGCTGTACCTGATACTGACAGGATTCAGAGGATGGCCTTGCGAATGATCGTGCCTGGCAGTTACCCGCCTACGTGAGAAGCATACCCACCGGCAAGGAGAAGGGCCAGTTCCTCGCCGTTGATCTCGGCGGCAGCAATTGCAGGATATGCCTTGTCGACCTGCACGGCGATTCTACCTTTACCATGACCCAAAGCAAGCACAGCGTCCCGCCGGGTGTCATGGTCAACCGCAGCTATCGCCCTCTCTTTGAGTTTCTTGCGCACAGGATCGCGGATTTCCTCCATGCGCATCTAGATCCTGGCCATCGGAGCACTGAAGATGCCGGCCAGCAGCAGCCTTACAGGCTGGGTTTCACGTTCAGCTTCACCTGCGAGCAGACATCTCTCGCAGGTGGACGTCTCATGCAGTGGGACAAAGGCTGGGACATCCCCGATGCTGTTGGTCGAGATCCCTGCATCATGTTACAAGAGGCCATCGATAAGCTGGGGCTGCCGGTCATGGTAACCGTCCTCGCGAACGACAGTGTCGGCACGCTCCTGACAAGAGCATACTGCTCAGGCCAGAAGTCCTCGACCCTCGGGGCAGTCATTTTTGGGACCGGGACGAATGCCGCATACGTTGAGAAGTTGGCTAATGTGCGACGACTACGTGTCAAGGCGAGAGCGGACGACGACATCATGGTGATCAACACGGAATGGGGCTGTCTCGATGACAAGATGGAAGTCTTGCCGCGGACATCAATCGATGAAGTGCTCGATGCAGCATCGGTCAATCCCGGTTCGCAGATGTTGGAGAAGAGGGTCTCGGGGCTGTACCTTGGGGAGCTGCTCCGGATGGCGGTTGTACAACTGCTGCAGGCAGACGTTTTTGACATGAAGGTCGACCAGAACTCCAGGGTCTTCCAGCGAGGCGGTATCGATAGCTCCTTTCTGTCCGAGCTGGCCATGCTGGACCCTGAAGATATCAACAGCGCCATCAAGTTCATCCAAGACACATTATCGGCGGAAAACGTCAGCAAAGTCGACGTTCAGGCCACGACACTGCTGGCCAGGTCCATTGCCCGACGAGCAGCACGTCTAGCAGGCGCATCACTAGCAGCCATCATCATCCAAAGCCGGCGACTCGATATGTCCTATAAGTGCCTGGAACAGACCACCTCCAATGCGTCCACCGGCAGTATCGAACGCTTCCAGCACCTTGTGACTCTTCTCTGGCGCCGAATTTTGGTCTTTATTGGAATGAGCTCGTCAGCCAGTAAACCCTCGGCCCAGATGCCACCGAAAGAGTCACCCGAGACGGGTCTGGTCGACGACATCATCGACATCGGAGCGGACGGCTCACTGATCGAATTCTACCCGGCGTTCGAAACTGAGATGCGTGGCGCAATGCGGGATGTACCGGAAATCGGGCAGGCTGGTGAGCGAAGAATCCGGATAGGTCTTGCAAAGGATGGGTCTGGTGTGGGTGCTGCCCTGATGGCACAGGCAGCAAGACAAAGCGAATTAAAAAAGTCGCCAGAATAAACTGGCTATATTCCAGAAGCAATACTAAGCGTATAAGTAGTCGGAAAAATTACACTGTGGCTAGATTACATCAATCATGTACAGGCGCTCTTTTTGAGGATATGGAGCCGAGACCTTGTTGTTGTGAAACACCGCCATGGTGGGACGAATTACCAAGTATATGCAAGAACTACAGGGCAGCTAGCACTGCTTGCCTGATGCCTGAATTATTATTAAAAGGCTAGAGTTCCATGACGACTTGATCAACGTTGACAACCCTAAGCCTGTGGAGTCCACGGCCAAAAGCAAAAGGGACATCGGGATCGGTATTCTGGTGCACAATGTTGCTCTGAAACGTTGTCCCTTTTGGCCAGGAGGTGGAGCGCTCAACGATATCCCGGAAACCCAACAGCTCGTGGTCGACGCTGTCGCGATGTTGCCCTTGCAGGAAGACCATCAAGTCGAGCGGGGACCACGTGGGATTCAACTTGACGCGGACAGGAATGGTATTGAGACACAGCCCAACCGCGTTCAATGTATGCTGGCTGCGGCCGTTTGAGGTCTGTGCGGACATGACATCTTCTGTTCAAGTCAGTTGCGCGAGGACCACGCTGCCTTGATGAGAGTGGCGGTCGTGAGTCCGTGTAGGACGTTGTACGGTGGGGAAACTCGTTAACTTGCGCATCCCCTTTTGGCAGATGGAGTATATTCGGGACGAGGGGCTGCAGAAGTACTGGGATAGCTGATCCCCGCCGTACAAGGCGAGGATGCGAGCAAATACAAACGCAACCAGGATTCACATGCGGTTGAGAACGTGCGGTGGCGGTTTGATTATTACGAGCGGCGGCCGGGGACGGGCACGAGGACCAACGCTGGTCGGGTGGATATTGAATTTTCTGATACGAATACCCACCATCGAGGAGCGGAGGATTGCCGACGATCTGATCATCCAGGCGGAGACCTACACACCGGCATGGTTTTAATGCTATTTGGCCTGATCCACAGGCACTACCCTCTCAGCTGTCGGAATGTCCTTTCTTCGCTGTAGACGTAGGCGAAGTCAACACTTTCTTCAACGACATCACCGCATGACCCAGAACATAAATCCCCAAGCTTGAAAAGTTCAACCACACCAGTCCGACAAAATAAACCAACACTCGCGGCGGAATCATCTTGAACATCTCCGTCGGGTCAAACCCGGCTGTTTCCCTGAACTTGTCGACCTCTGTAGAGACAGCAGTTGTGCTTCCGTCAATGGGCGCAGTTTCATGCACACCGTCCGTAAACGCATCATTATATATTGCTGTAGCCATAACACCCCCGAAGATCGTAATGAAGAACAACAACACCCCCTGGTTGAGCAACTCATATAGCCATGTGCAGCACAGCGAGAATAGGACGAGCGCACCCCGTCGAGACCCGTAGTCAGCAGACGCAATCAATTGAGCGATGGTGACGTCTTGACTAGAAGATGGGCTCCAGACGACAAGGAGACGGCAGATGAGGAAGGTGAACATAGTGGTGGAAGCGACGATCCCGAGGTAAGTGCTGTTGTTATTGAGGACGTCAAGGGCGGTAAAACTGAGCGCGGTGAAAGTCCATGAGACAAGGAGCCCGGCGGCAATGCCTTTGTAAAGGCCAGTACTGACATGAGTGAGTCCGAGAGCCATGTTGACGTTGCCTTGAGTTGGTGAATGGACAGGTTTCAAGATTTTCCAGGCGTCCAATTTTTCATACCAAAGTCACCTGATCCTGTGGAACCACTATTAATAACTTTTAGAACTTCAACAGTCCCTTTGACATTCCCCTAAACTGACAAAATGAGTCAGGTAGTGGCTCTAAGCCAGCCTAAATAAGGCCGACGCGATGTAACCATAACAATAGCCGAATGCAGTAATTGGTTCGGTTTCTCCCGCGTGGAGATGGATGCCTTGATGCCTGCATCAGATGTCTCAGGTCGGTTTAAATCAAGCTCTGATCAACATCAGCTCACGGCCTAAATAAACCCTAGCCCTGCCTCCTGAATGATGAAATTCATATTCATCTCCAGGAATTGAAAAATGGCACTCTCAACGCCCTGCAACCTCATTTCCAACCCGTCTTTCGAGTCAGGCAACCTATTCCCATGGTTCCCGTCTGCCCTAAACGTGGCCAAGATAAGCAATGCAACCGAAGCATATGATGGGGATTACTACCTGTATGTCCTCATCCCTAATTGCCAGTGTCATAGCTGACCCGAGTGGTGACTTACAAACCGCCATTGGAAATCGGGGCAACACAATCTCCCAGCCCTTGAGAAACCTCGATCCCAGTATCGACTACACCTTCAGCATGCAAGTGCAAGCGGCATCTCCCGGCGCGAACTACTGCTCTTTCTATGTGTACATGGCCAAGAACTCAACCACTGGTTTCGTTGCAACAGATATACTGTCCAGCTTTGGCGAGTGGACGTCTATCACCGGGCATTATCGGCCGAGGCTGTCAAAGGAGTATCTAAATATTGTGGCTAGTTGTACCTTTTCCGGATCTTCTTACCTAGGGAGGGTGTTTATTGATGAGGTGGTGCTTGCTCCCTCAAACTGTGAGGACGATACGCAGTGATATATTTTGGAGATATGACTACGCAATTGAACAGTGTGGCCGTCACGATATTCATGAACGCAATTCGAAGCGGACAAATGATAAATCAATGGAAATAGAAATCTCATATGTCTCTATGGCTCAGTCGAAGTAGATTCGATATGTTGACGACTTGAAATGATCACAGGATCAACACACATGACCTATTATCTAGGACATTCCACAACAGGTACTGATGGTGGGCGTAGTGATGCAGAACCTGCGCTGCTGAGCATGGCGACGTTCTATCAACACGCAGATATTGTCGCACCTCTTATTCAGAAGGTGCCAATGCAGTATTAAGTGTGCTACATACGGTGCACCACTGCTAGCAGCACTTGAAGGATACCCGCTTTTCTGCTTCAGGTGTTTGGGGGGTTGGGAAGGTTATCAGAGCTGCCCGTCATGGTTAAACATACTCACACATGCGTTTTATCTAACCTTTTTCATTGATCATCTGGCTGTGGTAAATGTGTCGTGCATACATATATCCCATATTACCGTTTGCTAGTAAAATTACTGGACTGACGCATAAAGTCCTTGCTCAATTTTCCATTTATACAGGCTAACGATACCGCAAACAACGACGGGGATAACTCTCAGACGACATCAAGGAGACGGCTCTTTATCTGGATCCTCATTCTCCTCCTCAGACTCATCCTCATCTTCAGTCGGCTCACTCGCTCCAGCTTCAGGTTCTTTATCACCAGGCTCATGCTCTCCAGATGCCTTCTCCGCCAGCGACGTCTCAATCCATGTTTCAACGCCGGCTACGGCATCCTGTGGTGAATCCCGATACCGCAGCAGATATCCCTGAACTTCAGCAGGAGAAAAGGTGCAAGGCGGAATCTTCCCGGCAAATGATTTGGCGAGTTCGTGGAGGTCAATCGCTCCAGACCCTTCTTTCGTCGATCGGTCACCCAGAGCATCATGGAGGCTCCCCTGTGTCGACTTTTCCGTAACCGAGGCAATCTGTGCACCACCCACCTCAGCGTCGGACGTATAGACCTGGAAAATATTCCGAAACATGGCCGCACAGAGCTCTCGACTGGCGAGCCGAAACTCAAGCCGGTAGTCTACCCGTCCAGGTCGAATGAGCGCTGGATCGAGGTGTTCATGGTGATTGGTCGTCATGATCAGCACCCGGCCCTCCTGAGCCGCGACGCCATCAATGATGTTCAGTAACGACGAGAGAGAGATCCCGTTCTTCCCCTTCCGGCGCGGTGCATCTGGCTTGCGGCGCCCAGTCACTTCATTAGCGTCGATATCTTCCAACAGCACCAGACATCGCCTCGGAAGCGTAAGAAACAGCTGCGTCAAGTTGTCTTCTGTGAGCTGCTGCGAGTTCAGGTTGATCATGTACACATTCAAGCCAAGGAACCCTGCCGCGGCGAAGGCGAGACTGGATTTCCCGGTGCCCGGGGGGCCATAGAACAGATATCCCCGTCGATAGGGAATGCCCCGGTCGCTGTACCAGCGCATCGTACTGGGGTGCAGATAGTGCTGTATGTCTTCCAGGAAGGCCTGCTTGACAGCTTCGTCCAGAATGACTGTCGACAATGGTCGCGCGGGGCGGGAAGTCGACCGCTTCCAGGCCAGCTCGCCGTCGAATATCTGCTTGACGCCGCGGTAGATGACTGTCCTTCCCTTTTCCTTTTGCGAAAAGGCCACCCGCGCATCCTGCATCAACTCTTTCAGGATGGATGGATCGCGCCCAAAGCAGGAGATGCGTAGCTTCTCCGTCCGCATGTACACCGTTTGCCTATGTTCCTCCACCTCCCGGGTGAGCGCGAGATACCGACCCCGGTACCGGAACCAGTGTGTTCCTGCTGAGGGAGCCCAGAGCAATGGACGGGTATTCGCCAGTGAGGCCTTGTACTCCGCGTCGGCTTGGACCTCAAGTTCGTCCTCCTCCGGCCCATCGTTGTCCTTGTTGTCTTCACCGAAGAAGCCCCCCTGACCGCTCGTAAGCGATGTTATCGCCATCAAGCGGTTCTTGTCCGCGTCAAACTTCTGCTTCATGAGCCAGTAGAGGAGGTAATTGTAGGCCTCATCGTAGGAATGAACTTCGATGCTGGAGCAGAGCAGATGCAGCGGGAGTTCGCCATATTCGTCCAGGAGTCTCTTGGCTACCCAAGATCCCACGGCAAGGGAGGAGAGATAGACGACCTTTTCGATAGTCCCGTTCATGATGATAAGATGGTGTTATTGACATGAAAGCTGATCTTACTCCTCCTTAAGTATGTTTTGGCAGTGCGGCCTAAGGCTCGTATCACAGCCTGACGCTGGAGTTCTAGGCAGTATGACAGAGGTGGCTGCCTAAGCGCAGATCCTGGCCTTGTCTCACTTGTGGATATTATTGCAGCTAATCAAAAGTTAAAGGCCTTCAGCCTCATGACCTCATCCTTCTAAGGCCCTTTTTTGGGGGCGCAGTGGCGTACCCTAGCCCCTTGACTCCATGTTCGAGACCCGCCTGGCTTCAACTCTATAGCTTCCTAGAGGAGACCAATCACACTCATATAGAATACAAACGCAGATACAGTCATGTGATGGTGCCTATACATTCACACCACTTTGATTCTCTTGAACTCTGCTGGTATGGATCTGTTTAGCGTTGTGCTTATATTCATGAGATTAGCAAGCTATTACATTACAATCCGCTAATCCAAACCCTCAGATAGCCTTTAAAACTTAGCATTTCTTCACTCTGTACCCAGACATGACCGAAACGAACACTCATGCCCTTACTCACCGTTCTCGGTAGATCTATCATGCGTGCCGATATATATCTCGCCCGGTCGTGTCTACAAATGAATATATGCGACCAGGTCACCATGGAACCACACCTAAACCGTATGTTTACTCCATTCCCGGAGAGGATGTCCCTGCATAGGATGGCTTAGAGTCTTGGTCAGTGGGAAGGGGGAGTGAAGAGATTGACTGACATCCGAAGACGAAGAGACCGGCCGCGAAGGCGATGCCGCCAAGCATCATCGGTGGGAGTCGGGCTTCCGGGACAGCCCGGTTGTTGTTGGCTCGGAATTGATTGAAGTAGTATCTGTTGTTGAGGATGTTGACTCCTGCTGCGAAGAAGATACCCACGAGCAGGGCGATGAAGGGTAAGCTGGAGACGACCGGACCCCAGCCACGAATATCATGGTATTCGATTGAAAAGCTTTCCAGATTGGCGTAGAGGATCCCTGGTGAAGAGAGCGGAGAATGTTAATTGTTCTGGACAAGCTACTGTTCTTGCAGAATGCTACTTACCATACACAAAAGACGCGTAGATACTCATGAGCAGACAGATAGGCGTTCCGAGCATCTGGAATGGACGGATGAGATATTTCTGCGACAGCTCCGCAGGCGACACATCCCACTCCTCATGCTGCCATTGTTAGAGCCCCCGTCGCCTGAAAGGGTAGCAGTCTCACCTTAGAGTGTAATGCCCAGTTTTTACCTTCTACTCGCAATCGACGGGCTTTGTGCGACAAGAGGACAGGCGCGTAGCTTTCATCCAGGAGGAGGACATCCAACACGACTTGCGCCATCATTACAATCCCCGTCAGGTACTCGGTCCAGCGCCAGCGCAGATAGCTCGACGCCAGGGCGCTTCCGATAATCGGGGCGAGTGTTGGTCCGCCTACGAGGGTGATGGCGTAGCCAACAACGGCAATGCCACGTTGTTGAGGAGGCCAAATATCGGCCAGGACGCCCCCAGTATTGGTGACCGGAGCACTCCCGAAGAGACCGGCGAAAAGGCGCGTGATCAGAATGGTTTGGATATCTTTCGCTGCGGCTGTGCCGAAGGAGAAGATGGCGGCAATGAAATATGGCTGATACCGCAGTCAGCATCATCCGTATTAACCTTGTCTCAAGGATTCCTCGCTCACCACTATGACTACCCATTTCCGTCCGTAAACCTCGCTCAGGGGCGCCCAGACCAAAGGACCTAATCCAAACCCAAACACCATCAAACTAACACCGGACGCTGCCACCTCCGAGGAGACGTTAAAGTCCGTGGCGATTTGCCAAAGCCCTGCTGAATAGACCGCTGACGCGAACGTAATCCAGCAGGTCGTTAGTCCATACAAAAACGTTGTGACGACCTTCTTCCGGAATGGCCAATTCAGTGGATGGTACGGATCGTCGGGGCCATCGAAATCAACCAACACGGTGGGCGGCGTCGCATCGTAGAGAAGCGGATGGGCCAGCCGCTTGCCCCCCTGCGGTGACTGGCTTTCATGTCCACTTTGGGTCTTCGGCGGCAATGCGTCGTCGCCGCTTGTGCTGCCAGATGCTGATGGCGGCTGATCTGGTGGTGATTTTGACATGGCGGGATGTTCAGTTTCGGTCCAGCCTGGATGGAGAATGAACGGGGGTTAGAGGTCGGGTTTGAGTGTGTTCCGGCAGGTGATTTATATATGTACTCCATAAAGACGAGAAAAAACCTAGGGAGTGAAGTGGCGATGCAGTGTTTCCCTCTTACTGCTCTATCCGGACCGTCTCGGCCGTTGGCAAAGCCGACACAGTGCATCGCACGGCCTTCGGAGAATCAGAGATGGGAGACTCAGGATCCTCAGTAGGGAAAAGGAGAGAAAAGAAAAAGGAATTTCTCGGAGTTGGCGTATAAGCTTATGCGCATTCCGGCTTCCGGTGTCGCGACGCCGATGGACCGATGGAACCCTGCGATACATCTACTCCCTTAAATCAACGACATGTGTACACGTACCCATGAAATGCCATCTCGCGGATCCGTTGTGGCATGCTCTTCCCCTTTTCTAGCATTCATGCGTCGAATTCTCCTTGGTTGGGAGGTTTCCTCGATCCTCTGCAGCCCTGTTCTGGGGCTCGGTAGCATTTACAGGTAGTAAGACGTGAACCATCCCCGGACAAAGACGGATGAAGGAAAACCGACTTTAAGGCCACAGATTCCACCTTTACTGCTGTTGCGCGCATATCCCGGCCTGAGACTGTGGACAGCCACGCATCTGGTCTGGACATACTACCGAATCACGGGCCAACTAATCTGGAAGAGGATTAAGCGACATGAGAAATACGGAAGTGTCGTACGACTAGCCCGAAACCATCTCTCCTCCACCACAGAGACAGCGTGGAAGACCATGTACGGGCTGCGAGCGGTGGAAATGGAGAAGAATTGTCAGGCCGGTTTCAGTAGACTTCCTATCAAGGTGCGGCAGCTATGATGAGAAAACTTGAAGTGAATGGCACGGCTGAGACCATTCGCAGGACGCACATGCTATTCTGAGCGCCGTCAAGTCCAACCATGCAAGACTGCGACGAGTCCCAGCGCCTGTGCTGTCAGCCAAGGCAATCAGAGAAAATCATGGCATCGTACTTGAGTGAATCTTCTGGTAGGTCGTCTGCGGGCTCGGTGCGGCCAGAGTTCCGTTGCTCTCAATAAGTGCTTTGAATGGTTAAAGTCCACCATTCGTTCGCATCCAATAAATAATGAGCCGTACAGTGCTACGTCTACAATTAACCCCATCCATTCATCAAAGCATTCCCGTCGTTAGGGTTATCGACCCAGTTCGCCAAAGCGTAGTCAATGTCTGCCGGATCAGGATATCCACGCTGTGGGAAGAACAAATGGCAAAACGGATCCAACGGCTCCATGTCGAGAACACTGTCCCCATGTGAAATGAAGGGAGTTCCTCGGTCGGCGGTTCCCGAAGGGTCAGCATCACTTGTGCCCAGAATAGGTCCCGTGCTATAGTCAGGGGTGGAGAGATCTGAAGCGGGCGCACGCATCCCTGCCACGCACAAGTTCCGTTTGGAAGGGGGACTGTTGATATCTTGCATCTCGCGCACATACTGCGCTTTGGCCATCAGACGCTTGATAGGTCGCCAGAGCGTGCCCTTATGCCCCTTCATCTTCCACCGGTCGAAGACGGTCTGCACATATTCCCACGCACGATCGCAGTCGGCCGACGGTGGTCGGGAACAGATCTCCGAGAGCACAAAGGCCACCGCATGCCATTGAATATGGGTCTTTGAATGCCAGGTCCAGCGGGCAATCTCCGATTTGGTCAGCAACAGGTTGGACAACTCGAGCACCTTAATGGACGTCAGGAACAGGCGATCGCGGATACTGGTGGGTAAGTTGGATTCGCTCTTCTTCTGGCCCAGCGGGTAGTACACGACCAGCCATGTGCGGGCGATGATCAGCCGTGCGACGGTCACGCAGACTTGAAAAAACGGAATGGTGGTGTCGCAGTGCTTGAGGTAGCGGTCTTGAGGTAGCGGTCTTCCAATCGCTCTTCGAGTGTGCGGGCAAGTGCCGCGCGGTCCTCCAAGGAGAGTTCGTCCGCCGGCTGGCCAGCAGGCCGCATGCTGAGGGAGAAGTAGGATGTCTTCCACATGACGCGCATCACCTCACAGCGAATGAGGCAGAATGTCATCTCGGTCGCCTCCTCACGCTCGCCTGGCGGCTCGGTCATCTCTGCGGTCAAATCCCCGTCGTTGATGTTCAGCGGCAGTCGCGTGTCAAACATGGACTCACGCACAATCGGCTCGCACCCATGGTACTCTGAGGACCGAATATCCAGCAAGCAGATATGCCACCAGAGACGCCGTCGGAGTTCAGTCTCCAGCGGCCGAAGACCAAAGGCGGCACCATCGCGGTGCAGGCCCATGGCCTTGGCGATATGAAAGACGAGCGCGGTGAGGGACCAGACAGTCCGAGATGCGTCTTCGTTCCGCAGTGCCGACAGAAACAGGACCACCGCCTGTAGAAGGATCATGCTCTGTGTGTTTAATAGATCCGCGCGCGCCAAAGCCTGCTCGACCGCGAACCGATAGTGCTTCAGCGCGTAGGTCCGTGACACACCCAGTGTAGTGAAACACTGCTCTGGCTCCAGGCTGATCACGGTGGAGTAATAGATGGCAAAGAGTAATGCCTCTGTATTACGATCCAGTGCTTCGGGCGTTGCAACCGCGTCCCAGTAGATGCGGATCATCGTGGGCATGTGGAAAATGCGCACCAACGGCGCCACATTCTCCTTGAACATCTCCAACAGGGCGACGGACTGGAACAGAGGTGGATGGTAGGCGCGTAAGGAATTTGTCAGAGCCTGAAAACCCATAATCGCGGCGTTGCAACCTAAAGAGCTCTCCGATTCTGAGATTGATTCATCCGTCGGCGCTCCCCTATTGGCGTCATTCTCGTCGTCATCCAAAGTCGAATCATGCAACAAGTCGCGCAGTTCTTCAATATAGACGCTTCAGTTTCCCGCAATCATTATCTTGGATCCCAGACATCGTACCTCGTCACCCAGACTCGCCCACAGGATATTGCTCACGTAGCAACTGCGCGTGTCGTCAATGACCAGTCGACCCAGCTGTTTCGCCGAGCTCGGTCCGTCCTCCGGCTGCTGCGCCGAAGTCGTCGCCGGGGTTCCTGGCCGTGTTGTTGCTGTCAATGGCTTCCCTGTCTCGACCTTACCCTCCAGACACTTGATCAGCGTTTCGAGACGGGATAATCGGTCTAGCAGCCGCGCATCGAGAGCTTGTCGTGGCTTCTTGGGCGCTCTCCCGGGACCCGGGGGGTAGACGCACTCGCTACCAGCGCGTACACAGCTCGAGCAGGGCTTCTGACGGTCGCATTTGATCTTTCGATATCGGCAAACGGTACAACTGCGGATGTGGGAATATGATGGAGCTGTTGAAGCGCCTGTGGTCGACGTACGACTAGTGTTGACATTCATGGTAAGTAGGGGTAACGCGTTGAATGTGGGATCCTTTGCATTCATAAAACAAGCATTACCATGTGAGTACAAGATCTGGAAGGGTTACCAGACTGATAAAGGGGAATATGAGGAAAGAGAGAGGAGAGAGGATGTCAAAGAAAAGTACGAGGCCAGATGGGGAAATCAGGCAGTGGGGCTGACGGAATCGGATAAGCCGCTGTCGGGCCGAACCAGCGATGATCCTGATTGGCTGTGAGCAGTATCTGATGCCTGTTTTGTATCGGACAAGCTTATGCGATGTCCGCGCGGTGGATCATCTTGATACACCCGATGATGCTTTGTAGGCTGAAGTGATCGCCTGTCCGATCGCATAAGCCAACTCCGGCTCGAAGGGTGCAATCTTGCTGGACTTTTAATCGCCTCGACCTTTTCGTGGTATCGTCAGCACTGTGCGTTCTGTTGGATCACGGCGTTCCGTCAGTGGCGTATACTTCAGTTAGAGCTGATTGTCACTATAGGGCAGAATTCTAGTGCCTAAGACAAGCTTTGAGGATGCGCATCGCCACCTTGTCGTGGATGTTCTTGACAGGGCAGAGCCAAGATGTCCTATCTTCACTACAAGCGCAAGCCAGGGGGCGTGAGACTAACGGGCGCGAGGAATATCGAGATAATCCATCGTCCGTCAGCAAAGGTAGAAGTTCGCCTTTTCGGGCTGCATGCGGACTGTCATATCCAGGAATCGTTCAACCTTGTGAGTCCTGACCTATACGGAGACCATACTGCTCACTGCTGCAGTGGACCTCAAAAGCAGCGGTTCCTGAGCCAAGAACTAAGGCAAGCGTCAGAACCGTCCAGCACTGGTGGTAAGAAACACAAGCGCTTGCTGGTAGGGCCATGAATGAGGGAGATGAGCCCCAATAAATACTGCACATGTCGTAGCAGGTATGTTGCCAATCCGTCTGACGGGGCATTGTGTGTAGGCTTGATGCAGAATAGAAATCGTAGAAGCTGGAGATACAACAGTCGTTCATCACGGACTGCATCTCAGGCCGCCATAGATGAATCTTGCATTTTGTTGCTCCATGCACAAACAACATCCGACATTCAAGATGGATTCTTCGCCCTTTTCCCACGACTGGCGCAGTTGACTTCACCTTGACGCAGCCTGACGGTGACTACATTGGTACACATGCTAGCTCAAGCAGGGATAAAGCCCGGAGCTTATGCAATGACCTCAACATAACAAGCCTAGAGTGAGACCGTATCCTGCTTTTTTCCCAGCAGGCAACCGCTCTCTAATAGAGAAATTGGCGATATATTCCGTCTATCATGATCTTCCCTAACAAGAGACAGTGTCAACACAGAAGCAGTCTACAGTAATATTACACACCAGTCATGACCTCCGGCCCCCGCCGCTCCAGCTCTATCGGCCCATCACTCACACTAATCCGCACCGTCTTCATGATCCGTCCCCCTGTAGCAGTTGGAATGCTCCGATCTGGCGTCGGCTCCCAGCCACGGTCGTACTCTGTCTCCGACCGCCGCAGCTTACGCGACCTGCTATCAGACGAGGTGTGACTTCGCAACTTCGAGTTCGGCGGCGAGACGTCGTCCGTGTAGGCGATGCCGTACTCATCAACATAGACGGCCAGCACGGGCTTCATGAACGAGGCGACGAGGCAGACGACGCTCATGGCGAGGTAGAGCTCCGCGGTGATGCTGGCGATCGCGCCATCGAGGGTGGGTCTATCTGAATCCAGCTGGATTTTGACGTAGTGGAGATGCATGGCCGCCAGGGGGATGAGTCTGCTCTCGTCAGCGGGATCGCGGAAGCGGGAAGAGATCTTACATGATTCGACAGCTCAGGGTGCCGAATACGACGATTTTTTGTCGGGTTGAGATCTTGATGCTGTATATCGCTCGGCCGGAGTAGAGGATAAGGAGGACCTCGAGGATAATGTCGATGGCGGTGATTGCCTGCCATCTTTGAAACTGCGTCCGTCAGCATGAGTCGCTTTTGTATAGCGTTGACCGTACCAAACCGCCACATTGTGCGTCGATATCGAGCCATGGTCGATGGCTACATCGGACCGCTAACAGTATAACCGACAGTATAGTCCAGATACCTCCTCCAGCAAGAAGACCTTGGATGACGGCACGAAGTTTCTGCTTGAACAGTGTCATATAGAAGATGGCGGTGGTTATCTTCGACAGGCCGAGGGTGACGACGAAGAGAGTATCTGCTGCGTATCCCATCTGCGAAGTCAATACCAACGAAAGCACACGGTCGCTTCGACTTACCTTTAGCATTTTTTCCTTCGTGGCCGAGGAAAGTGACTCTGCGGTTGCTCCCCAGCCGTAGTGAACCTGCGCCAGTACCAAGGACGTTTGCGCCAGTGCAACGATCTGTCTTCCGGTTAGGCTGTATTTGCGAAGGAACTTCAGAGACCTACCACTACAGCAGCAAATCCGTAGTCGTCCTTTTGGAAAATCCGCCTCTTGAACGAGGAAAACGTGCGAGCGGCAAGGGATGAAAGGACCAGGACCAAGCAGAACCCGGTGATCACCACAATGAGCCCTCCATGGTTATCCTTCCGGTTCACCGTTGGAGGACCACTAACACCAGACGGAAGAGCCGTGGCAGTCGTCATTAATGATTCGTGAATGTCGAGAAAAGCTGCTCATGAGGAGGAGCGACATTGTTGAGAAAGATGATAAACTGCTCATATAAGCGGCGGAGGTGAAATCGAAGTCAGCGAGAGTCTCACGGGCTTAAGAGGCATGGATCGGGCGTTATGACTTGGAAGGAGAGCCGGTTCGGATGCGAATCTGACCTGCTGGGAAATGGCAGCGGTTGGCGAATAATGCCTGACGATGCGTTAGTTGCATGATCATCCTGGACAGCAGGGATGAAGGCGAGTCTTCTGACCATCCCATTTCGCTTGGTTTTAGGATGAGGATGAAAAGAATGCTGACTCTTGTTATCGGAGTTATGCTTATTCCACCACGTCAGCATGAGCAGATCAGCATAGTGCATGCGAATAAGAACCGAAGACGAAATGCTGAAGACCAACACGAGCACGCCCATGCCTCTGTGTAACCCCGCCTCGCTTGTTTTGTTTGTTCTGGTCAGCATCGCTCCCCCTTGCTTTTGCCTGCATTCTCTCCCCTCTTTTCCTCCTTTCGATTCCTGCGCATATCTTATCGACCTTCGTTCTTCTCCGAGAATCCAGCAATGACATCCATACACGATAATTCTACGATGCAGACGGGACACAAGGCGCCGGCGATGGCCTCGCTTCAGGTGGAAGCAGGACACCACACGTCCAACACAGACGCGAAATACACGGGAACGGTTTATGATGACCATGATATGCAGCGCATGGGAAAGGTCCAGGAGCTTAAGGTGAAGAGTCAGTAACTGGCGATGCGACCACGTTCTGACGACCGACAGAGGAACCTCCGCCCTTTGGCTGCATTGAGTTTTGCGTCGGTACTTCAGGCGACATGGGAGTTTATTCTCATGTGAGTGCGCTTTACTCTTCCGATCGATAATACTGAATGATCCAGATCGAATACACAAGGGCTGCAAAATGGCGGACTCGCGGGCATGTGTTGGTCCTATTTGTGGACGTTTGTCGGGTTTGGCTTTATCATCGCATCGTTGTCGGAGATGGCTTCCATGTACGCTCTATCTTTGGCACTTTGTACGTGATATCAAGAGTACCTGCTGATTGCAAAGGGCCCCGACCTCTGGCGGACAATACCACTGGGTGTCCGAGTTTGCTTCCCCGCGATACCAGAAATTCCTGAGCTACATCACAGGTAAGTCGTTGATCTTGTGCAAGGCTCGACTAACATCCGCAGGCTGGATGTCCGTTCTAGCATGGCAAGCAGGCTCCGCATCAGGCTCTTTCCTGACCGGTACAATCATCCAAGGGCTTATCAGCGTCCGCGATCCGGACTATCATCCTGAGCAGTGGCAAGGAACGTTGTTTGTTTTTGCGATGATTGTGGTGATCTACTTTTTCAACGTCTACGCCGCGGACATGATGCCTCTGTTCAATAACCTGCTGATGATCCTGCATATCCTCTCCTGGACCGTGATCGTGATTGTACTGTGGGCCATGGCTCCGCATCAATCTGCCAAGGCTGTGTTCACGCAGTGGACGAATGAGGGGGGCTGGTCGAGTATGGCGCTGAGTGCCTTGATCGGGCAGATTTCTGCAATCTATGCTTCGCTGAGTATGTTCACGCTTTCGTTCGGAATCGCTCTAATTCTGGCAGGCTCCGATGCAACAGCACACATGTCCGAGGAAGTCAAGGACGCTGGGCGCTATGTCCCAATTGCGATCGCATGGGGATACTTTAGCAACGGCGTCATGGCCATTGTGATAGTCATCTCCTTCCTCTTTGCCATTCCTTCAGTCGACGACGCACTGTCCGACAACACTGGGTTTCCTTTCATCTATGTGTTCAAGAACGCCACGTCGGTCGCCGGGGTTAATGGGTTGACGGCCATTATTCTCCTTCCGGTCATTTTCAGCAATATTCTCTTCAATGCTTCTACGTCCCGGCAAACCTTCGCGTTTGCCCGGGATAAAGGACTACCCTTCGCCCGCTGGATCGCCAAAGTCGACCCTAAACGCAAGATACCCGTGAATGCGATTGCATTATCTTGCATAATCAGCTGCCTCCTCTCTCTCATCAACATCGGCTCGCTAACCGCCTTCAACGCCATCATCTCGCTCAACGTAGCAGCCCTCATGTACACGTACATCATCTCCATCAGCTGCATCATCTACCGCAAGATCTGGCATCCGGATACTCTGCCCCCGCGGCGGTGGGATTTGGGTCGGTGGGGCTTGACCGTTAACATCGTGGGATTGCTGTACTGCGTGTTCGCACTATTCTGGGCGTTATGGCCGAGTAGCACCCCAGTCACGGTGGACAATTTCAACTGGAGCGTGGTGATCTTCGGGGGTGTTTTGGCCATTAGTTTGGTCATGTATGCTGTCAAGGGGCGGGGGGAGTACCATGGGCCAGTGGTTATCATCCGAAGGGATTAGCCTACTTCATAACGACGTTATTCGAGCATTGTCTGAGTAGATGGACTACGCAGTAACCAGTTCAACGCACCAACACTCTTGTCAAGCGGAACCGCCAAGGCATGCCAAGCATCCCCCAGCTGTACGCCCAGTGATCAACGCATTACGCATCCTTTGATGGATCCGCGTGAAGATTGAGTACAGAGCCGCCAACAGGAAGGCTGGGCTCATGTGTTGCCGATCTACTCCGGACAGGTATATATTGCGCCTTCACTCACTCCCATGATTGTCCAAGCACTCGCACGCAGACCATGGCTCCAACAGACCTCTCAGATAACCACCCCGCGGGCTTCATCTCCCTCGCCTGGTCCATCAAACACCACCAGAACATCTACGATGACGGAGCCGGGGGTTCAACTCCGTCGTCTTGGGAACCGTATACCCCTCCACCTACGTCCACCCACTCCCATCTCATCTAACAAAGTCCAGATCGCATACGCCTTCCTCTGGTCCCTCATCGCTCTGACGATGAGGCTGAGCCCTCGACGCGTCCATCCAAGTATATACCTCGCCTCCGACCTGATTGCGTTCCTGCGAATGTGGTTACGGGATGTATCGGGCTTGCGGTGCTGGTGCCAGTGATGGATGCTACTCTGGGGTTTGTGAGGGCGATGTATTGCTCGGAGTGGAGACTTTTGCGTACATGGTTGTTTTTGTGCATGTGTAAGTTTGGATCTCTGTTGAATGGAAATACGCTGATCGTGTAGGGTGGTTCATTTGGTGCTTACGGTTTGGGCCTCCTGGGCTTGTCATATTGAGAGGGGAAGGCTGGGTTAGGAGGTAGAGTTGTAGGCTGAAATATATCTACTTAATGTCTAATGTCTAATTCTAGTCTGACTTGTATTATGTGTACTCTGTGCTATAGCGAATGCTCTGATCTGATCTCGCCAAAGCGATTATATGGAACTTAGTGTTGAATACAATGAGCCTGTCCTTCTCTAATGGATGCTATGGCCTCCAGGTATGCGCGTCGAGTATTTTCTGCTTCGAAGAGCGATTTCACAACACAAACGAAAGCTAGTGAAGACAGTCTTGACAAGAGAGGCTCAGACCGATTCAAACCAGTAATTGATACGCTCTATAGATTGTTCCCACATCGTTGAATACTTCTCATCATCTATACACGCGCATAAAGACTCAAACCATCAAACAACATCGCATAGAATCAGAATGCTAAACCCAGGGCTGAGAACGCGGTTTCGCAGGGACCATCTCCTCCTCCACATGAGCCAGCAACGCCGCCCCCTGCGTCTTCATCCCCGCAAAAACATACGCAAGCGTTGCAATCACCTCCGGCAGGAACCCCAGCACCACGCGGATAGCCAGAGACCCCGTCACCGGATTCAGCGCCGCCCTCTCCGTGCACAGTGCAGCAAGACTGTAAAAGACACGGACCCCGACAAACACAAGCGAGAAGCAGACGGTCCCAAGCAGCTATTCGCGTTAGCACGCGTCATACACGTGGTATAGGCAGCCACTTACCAGCGTCCCCGCCCTCGTCAGAGAGGAATTGCGGCCCCGGGGAGCAGCAAACGACACCCCGGTCCAAGCGACCAAAACCCCCCACGCAACCGCCAGAATCGCAATGCCGGCCTTGGCGATCTTCGCGGCCTTGTCGAGGGGCTGTTCGTGTGTCTGGAGTTTCGCGGATCCGGCCGCTGTGAGCGCGACGCCGGCGACGACGAACATGTGGTAGGATAGCACGCAGACCCATTCCATTTTCTTGTCGAGGGAGTGGATGCGATAGTGCCTCCTACTGCCGTTAGAACGCATCTCATGATTTGACGGGTGACTTACGCCTCATGTAGAATACCAGCTGTCGCGAGGAGGAGAGGCGAAAGACCAACGCTGGAGATGATGCTAGCGGCCGCACTGGTGTCCTTGACGGCCAAGGCGCCGCCGATGATGCGCAGAGTGCAAAAGAAGAACAGGTAGAGCCATCCTAGAAGGCCGTAGCGACCGTGCCGGACGAGGAGATAGAGCACTGGGATGGCGAGGACTGCGTAAATGGCGCAGGTAGCGGCCGAGAGGGAGTTGGTCATTTTGTGCACGTCCAGGTTCCACAGAGAATATCAAGTCCTCCCTTTTCGTCTGTGTCTTGGATGAAAGAAGAATGAATTATGAGGCGTGAGACAAAGCCAGGAGGTAGCGGTAAATAAGAAGAACAGGGCCTTGGGCCATCCAGGTAAGACATCCTCATTGGGTATGTTACTTGTCGATCTGTAAGCCATGGACTGAGCCCATGTACTCTGTAGGAGCCGCTGCGCCACGTTGACAACGGACAAGATGTTTGATCCAATCATATTGATCATCGAATGTTGGATGGCGGATCGACATGAAGCACCAGGCTGAAACCCCCACCATTCCACCGTTCCCCTCGTATTAAGCATTCTTGTGGGAGGCTGGGCGTGAGCTTGTCCATTTCTCAACATTGCACAGAGCCAGGACACAACAGCAGACACGAGGCTATGGCCCCTCGGCAGTGAAAATTTATTGTGGGGGCCAGGATCAACAGGCAGAAATAGATGGCTGCTCAGCCCAGCCCCACCCAATTGAGACAGCCTTGTCGATAATATGACTGTAGCTGTAAGGCTCAACAACAAGCTCAAAGAGTTTTGGACATGGATCTATGATCAGCACTATGGTTGTGTCGCTGTGTGAGGTAATTTAGTCAGATGTAGGTTTGTAGTCATGAGAGTTGGATGTTGGCTTTCTTTATGGTGTATGGAGTGTTAAATGAATATATTTTTGTTTACCACGGAATAGCAGTAAATAAATAATTAAGCATTGGTGTGCATGCAAACTAAATATAAGTTATGCAATAAGTTAGAACCCTAACATTCAACATGTACTGTCGCTAACAAAGAGGACTGTACTGGTAAAGATGGAGCAGTAACAGAAAAACCACTATTGCACAGTGGCAGCTGTTCCAACCATAAAGACAGGATTATCCGAGATCTTCAGCTGGTCTTGATACATTGAATCATCCGAAAAATCTTAAGCGAACCCGACCCAATATTAGCATTGGCTGTCTCCGAGGAAAAATAGACTACTAGACGCGGTCTATGTAAGGATATGCTTACGGACAAAGGTGCCTCTAAGTGAAGTCTATTGGACAAGGCAGTAACGCAAGTGTGTTCTCCCAGTTTGTTCTACCTCAATCAGCGGCTGTCCAGCACCACGCATATTGCATAACAATGCTTGCTCGAAGTGCCAGCAGAGTAGCATGTTAATATCTTTCCTTAAATCCTCGGGCTGTCGGCATACAGGGTGTAATAAGTCTTGTGGAATGGCGACACGTTCGGTAGAAGCTCACAATCTTGTAGCCGTCATTGACCTGGCGTGACAGAAAGTAACTATCCCCAATTGATCATATCAAAGTACAGCAACAGGCGGAGGTCTCTGCTGATTTCGAGGGTGCAGACTGCGGTCAGGGAGACCATGGAGCAACCATTAACACGCGGACGGAGATCAGAAGGAAAAGGGCAAGCCGGCCATAGGCCTGAGCGTTGACATATTCAGTGGAGTCAACAATTGCATCGAACAAGGTTGGAGACAGACTTGGGGAAACCTCGTGGTACAAGCGTCAATTCCCTCCTATGGCCTGGTGTCAAAAGCAGTGAGCATCGGCCCATGGTCAGAAAGTGTAAAGAATAAATGTACGAGGGATACTTCGTAGAGCTCTGAGCAGCAGGCCAAGTGACGTAATTGTGTCCAATGTGGACAGTAATTTGTGTGAGGGCAGAACACTAGTAGAGGAAACACATTTTTATTCATAAGAGAACCGAGCAAGTCGTCGCTGAAGAAGGAAGATGATGAGGAGGAGGATGCGCCCCTGGCTGTGATGTTATTATCACCCCTTATCTCTACCCCAGGGGTTGCGCCCTGGAGTAGGCATTACTAAGGTAAGATAATAAAAAGAGGTTGCGCCTTGTTTCCCTGCTACGTTGCCTCCTTCTTGGCATGTCGACGCCCTTCTTGACCAGTTGTCCATAGCATTAGTTCTCGTCATCTAAGGATGTGCTACCTTTGCCATCTCTGCTGCCTGAAGCACCACCGTCACCTCCATCCCTACTATTCCACCAGATCAAAAAGACTCTCCTCCACGCCTCTTCCAGATATTGTTCGAGATGTGCGACAGATATCACCGGGTGTATGCGCCAAGCCTGAGGTAGATCGAGCTTGTAGGCAAGGGATCCAATCCGCTGCAGTACAGTAAAGGGTCCGGCAAATTGGTCACTGTACTTGCGTGACAAGGCCATGGATCCGGTATAGCCTTTATGGAGGCGGAGGAGGACCTTGTCTCCGGGGTGAAATGCGATGGGTTTGTGGGATCTATCATACTGGTTCTTCATGGCGACGGCTGCAATTTTGAGTACTGTTTGTAATCTTGCAGAGCTCCGATTGCCATGCGCAGGAAGACTTCGATCACTTGGTTGAATCTCTTAGACTGACCATCAGCCTGTGGGTGGTATGCTGTGGTGTATCGCAGTGCGGCACTCGTCCCACTGTACTGGGTCCGCTGCGAATCCTCTCATTAAGAGGCCTGGGACCAGAAGCAATAGACTGGGTGCCACGCCACTCAGTCCGCTGGCTTGCCCAGCTTTGAGGGTCATTCATTGCCAGACAGCAGTAGACATTATTGCAGGGAGGATGGATGTAATAGGGATGGTATGAGCAGAGATGGGCCATAATGTGGCTATGGATGGAGCAGGTAATCAGTCCAGGACAACCTTTACGCGAGTTGTTGCTCTGGACACTCTCTGACTAGGTGAGTGGGGTTGAAGCAGTGATGTATGTCGCATAGGTGCGGTATATGAGTGCTAGTGGGCACATTGGCCCCATGGCGGGCCACACAGGCGATGAGTGAATTAAAATGTAGTTTGGGAACTAAGTCTAGTCTCATGTAGCCTATTATTGGCCTTTGTCCAAATCTGTCGCCTTATTTCAGTAACTAAGTCCATCTTTCCTGGGGGGTTGTGTCCTTACCTGCATAGCCATCATTATTTGAAGATCCTTGAAATAACCAGCAGCCGGCGTACGGGTCCACCTGTGCATTTCAGCGCTTGTCATCCACAATTCCGCAGCATCACGAAGCAGTAATGGGCTGGGATCTGATGAACGTAAACACCAGAGCACCCCGGATACAGCGACTTGTTTGTAGAGAGAGATGCTGGAATCTCAATCAGAAAAAGTGCCAGTCTATGATAAGTGGTGTGGTGTTTACGTATCTTACCTGAAAGAACCTTCAAACCTGCTGTCGAGCTGATCTAATACAGTCTGAGCCCAAATCGGTGGAACGTTTTTGTAAATGAGTTCTTGGTGAGACGTGACAGCAGAGAGAACTCTGAGGGCGTGCTTGTAGAGATCCTCAGGAGAAGAGAACATTGATACCGAAAAGAGGATAGAACACAATGCCTTCCTTGTCTGCAAGTTAGAGAATTATGGCATATACTTTGATACCATTGTGGGTTTCTTATGTCGAATGTTGACACGGCTACAGAGGAGCGAACGCCACATGTGTGATACCAAGAGAACTTATGCTGAATTTGCATCCTGTGGCGATTACAATGAGCTGTACGTCGACTCCCGCCGCCACCGACCACCCCCCATGGTGGAGTAGAAGGCGACACTTGTTCTTCTGGTATTCTGTTCATCGCCTGGAGCATGACGCTGCTCGTATGGATATAGAAAGTGGCATCGCCTCTAGCAGAGACAGATTCTTTGCTGACTCAACATTGTAGCAGTAATTGCAGGAGAGAGTCAGAAAAGAAGGTCAAAAGGGGAGGGACGATGATGTTTTAAATAGTAGATAGATAGAGGAAAAGAAAAGATCTAAGAGAGTAGAGAAGAATGACCCAGGATCCGCTTTCACAAATGCAGTGAATAAGATCAAGCTTTACAGAGTCAAAGCCAGTTGTGACTGGATAAGAGTAAATATCATGATCATTTTGGATGAATATTCACTAGCGCTTGAATGATTCTATCCCTATTGATCTACCATCACCCTCCTCAGACTCGCCAAAGCATCATCAATCAACTCCCCCATCCGCTCATTTTGGCATGCAGCCCTGGCCTCCTTGAGAGCATCCTCCCAAATTTCCCATCGCTCCCGTGTATACCCCGTCCAGCCCTTCTCTTTATACTTCTTCCCCGGCCCAGCGCCAGCCTCCTGAACATACGTGCGATTATGAAGCACATTCGCCCACAGCCGCTCCGCGGCGTAGATGAACCACCAGCATGCGGCCTCCATCGCCGCCGTATCCCCCAGAGAGGCAGGAGAGCGCTCATTCTCAAGCGCCATAGCCATGGTCCAGATGGCCCGTAGTGATTTATCCAAGGGAGAGAATCTCACTTCTTCAGGAGGTGTATATTGAATTTCTGCGGCCTGAGTGAGCCGCGCGAGGAAAGCATTGAGCTTTGCCCAGCGATCGCGTTGCTCTGAATCCAGCATTGCATCACAGGGGTCTGGATATGGTTAGCGATCTGAGTGTCCAAATTTGATGGATGGATCACCTCTGTAATCACCGCCAAACTCATACCACGTCTCCAGCTCTGTGTAGCCAAAGGACGGCATGTCGGTCCAGAGGGTATCGCCCTGAACCTTGAGGGGTTTATCCGTGGATGGGTCAACGGCAACCTGCTTCTGAAGATGAGATACAAACTCAACAAGCTTGCTGTGTTTGGATGGCTTGAGGCGTTGAGTGAGTTCCATAACCGCGAGAGACACGTTGTAGTCTGGCAGGCCGATGCCGCCTTGTTTATCTGGGCCGTGGATAGATAACGCAGTCATGGTCATGTTGATGACTTCTTGGACTGCATCTTCCACTGTGACTTCTTCTTTGACGACTCTGTCGAGGAGTTTGAACTCGACAGAGTTTTCGATTTGTCGGATAAAGTTCTCTCTTCCCATCGTGAGGTTTGCTGGTAATACAAAGATGTAGACAGCTCAAAGAAAATTTGCGTCCTGGAGTAGACTGAAAGTATGGTTAAGATGGATGAATCTGAAAGATGCGAATTGACTGACTGATTGATAAAGGAAGGATGAGGCACAATTAAGATCTGCAGAAGAGGATGAGGCTGTACAGAGTGGGCTGTGCTTGATGGTGTGACACAGTCAGCCTTGGCTGCTGGGGCCGGATTAGCTTGTGTTGCTTGCTTACGGCCCCCACTCTTGGCCCCGTGGGTCTAAGGTATCAAGCATTCTCTAGCACCTCTAGTTCTCTACCATGGCCAGAATTGGTATCCTGGGGCCGTTTGGATATCAAGATCATTCTCTGCAGAAAACAGCATACACAGGAAGATCATCTGGGGCCAAATCATGGAGTGCATCTCAGCCTTGAGCATTGAGGCCATCTCGCTCAGCCTGATGATCGTCAGACATTCTACCAGTTGTTCTGAGTTTAGAAACATGCTAGAATTGGGATGAATCGCAGTGTCTCTGAAGATATAAAGCCCTCAGAAATACCGCCAGATCTCTAATCATCAACACCATCGACACCATCAAAGCAATACATTCAAGTCAATCGTCTTTCCTCTTCTATACCATTATCCCAAAGCTCCAGCCTCAGCTCAAGATGTTGTTCGACATGAAATCCATCGTCCTCTACGGTCTCATGGCCATCGCCCATGCCTCCCCCCTCCCCGAGCTCAGCAAGCGCGCCAAACTCGGCGATTTCCAGTGTCCCGACGGCACAACCCTGTCTGAGAATGACATCCGCGAGGCCCTGCACCAGTGCCGCAGACTCGACGACGGCTCCATCGGCAAGTACCCAGCCTACTTTGGCAACCAGAGCAACAACCAAAAGGTGCTCACCAATGTTGCCGATGGTACCACTCTGCGCGAGTTCCCTATTATCGTGGGTGGAGTGTACACCGGCGGTAAGCTTTTCCACTGGCGAATATATCCCGAGACAAGCTGACGAGTGCAGGCGAACCTGGAGCGTACCGCGTGGTCACCGACTACAAAGACAACCGCGGCGACTTCCGCGGTGTGATGCAGCATACCGGCGCAACAGTCGGCGGCGCATACACGGCCTGCACACGTGTCACGAACACCAAGCGCGAGCCTGGCAAAGACAAAGACGACAAGGACAAGCATGACAAGGACAAGGGCGACAAGAAGGGTAGCAACGCGGAGCGCAGCGTCCAGGAGACCGAGATCGCAGAGGAATCCACCGGCCACGCTATCAACGACCTGACCACCCGCTCCAAGAAGAAGAAGATCGGCAGCGCTACCTGCGACGATGGCGTCACGCTCTCCAGGGACGATGTCGTCAATGCTTTCCAGGAGTGCAAGAAGTGGAATGACTATGGCGTGGGCGGTTACCCGCACAAGTTTGGCAACAAGGTCGGTAATGATCAACAGGTCTTTGCGGGCGTCACCAAGGACCTGCGCGAGTATCCTATCATTCAGGGTGGAACGTGGACTGGTAGGTGCTACATTTACACTATGAGTACAGGATAGAGACTGACTTTTCGAACAGGCGGCGAACCTGGCAAGTACCGTGTGGTCACCGACTACAGCGACAACTTTGTTGGAGTGATGATTGAGTATGCTGGTGGTTCTTTCACTCGCTGCACTGTCAACAGTGATTAGACTAGAGGTTGTCTTTGTGATCTGATGTGTGGAGTTATATATACTAGGGGCCGTATTGGTCTTTCTCTCTTTTTTCCATGTCTGGTGTTCTGCTAGAGGTCTCGTTCTTCTGCTTCTTACTAGTGAAATGGATTTTACTTTCAATGTTTAATTAAAATTCCCTTGATGTTCTTAACTACAGACAAGGTCCAACGGAGCAAAGTCCACCTGTATTGCCAGCCAAACTCCATCACCCGGCTTCTGCATCACGCCGAAATTACAAAAGAAGCTGCTTCCAGGAAATATCGTCCACCAGACATCACAGTTCCTGTTCTTCCTTCGAGCCAGGGGGGAACCGAAAAACATGGTGACAGAAACCCATAACGAATGATGCTACTACGCAGGCATACTTATCCAAAGTGAGTTTCCTGCTTTGCACCCTCCACAGCAGCAAGATAGCTCGGCCGGTCCTTCACGTAGAACTCTACGTCAATCTTTCCTCCTAGACTGGCCTGTCCGTTGTCCAGACCTCCTCCTTTAATGCAGGTCATGTCTGGCATGACCTCCAACTCCGTGTATAGACTCGACCCGCACGTAGGACAGAAGAAGTGTTTGTTGATCTTGCCACTGGCGCCAGTGGCATCGTAGGAGGAAGGGGTTCCTGGACGTTGTCCTTAGAACATTTTCACAGGCACAGATGGCCATAATGCAAGAGATCCTCACCTTTGGTCACCTTGAAGCTGGTTCGGGGAACGACGGCATTAGAAGTAAATGCGCTGCCAGTCCACTGTTCGATTCTGATCAGAAAATCATCCTTTTGGTCGTAAACAGCGCTCACCTTTTGACAGTCTATGCAGTGGCAGAGAGCACTGAGGTATTGATCCACTACCACAGGGTCATTATTGTGTCTCTTGCTACCTCATGATAGGAGCTCGCATACCTTTGGCAGTGTAGGCGATGCCACCGCACATACAACTCCCAGTGAGTGTCATTATGTGTTCGAGAGGGCGAGAAACAGCAGGACGAAGAGCATGCAGCCTTCACAAGGGGGGTCAGGTTTATATATCCCAGACTAAGGAGATCCTGCAGGCCACCCATCAAAGGCCGAATGGGTGCATTCGGCAAGATAAGAATGTCTCACGATAATAAATACCCTTTTTGGCCATCTTGCTGCGGGGCAAAGCGGCTACCCAAGGAACAATCACCGATCACCGAGCATCAGTCGCCGCGCAGTGCTTGCATTTCGGCGAAACAGAAAGATTACCCCTCTGCTGGACAGCTTCCTTCCTGCGGGGTGATAAAGGTACACGATTCTAGCTTTTGTAATAAACAGGGGTTAGATAACATAAAGATAAGTATACTTGGCCGCCATGCTTCCCAGCAACAAACAATGGCCAACTTGCTCCTGGACGCAATGTGGAAAGGTTAGTCATAGTCTGATAGATCTCATTTATAGACAGTCATGGATGTAGAATCCCACTTATACTGATGCTCGCAGTGTCTAAGTCGGAAATCAGACCTTTGCGAACATTATTAAATTCATCAAGAAGCAGTTTATTAATGCATGTTTGAGTGCTGTAGCAAGAGCTTCAATCAGCAGTGTGCCATGATTCGTCTGCAAACATATACCAGTAAGCCCTTGTTTAAATGGCTGTAGCAAAGCATTTTCTGATGTAGGCTTAAATTACTTGACAGGCAGCCTACATCTAATTGATGTACAGTACATAGATCTTAGTCTTTGAGTATTTCTGTAAAGTGGTTACCAAATCTGCGTAAGCCAGATGTCTCCTGCTGCCACTAGGGCGAAGGAGGTCTGTAATCTGCATTCAAACGCTTTTAAGCATGGTTCAAGTTGTAAGAAACATTGGACATAGATAGGAATGTAGAGTTACTAGGGTTTTAGCAGCACAGTTGTCACCCTCTGGAGGCTGGGTACAATATAGCAGAATGTACATAGTTGCATGTCTTAAGCATTATCTTTGCGTTGAAAGCGCGCATTTCTTGGATTAACAAGTGCAACCTAACTGTATAGTGTACGTTCAGACACGGTGATAGAAAGCTGATCTCATCCAAAGAATATCCATTTGATGATTTGAATGCAAATTTTCGCAAAAGGATAATATAGCCCCATCCTTCTGACCCAGCAGGGGTCGTATATATCATTATAACGTTCCAGGGTATAGCCAGAATAAGTAAGGTTTTTCTGCATGGTTCCGCAAAAGACAGGTCTCCGCGATCAAGGGGATGCAAGTGATGAGTCCCCATGGCTCTCATACTTGCTACACTTGGATGATTTAAAAATGCTATATGCTACAAAGGAAAGGTCTGTAAGATTCTGTCATTAAAGACAGTTGTAGCTTTCCGGACTGAGTTGAGTCCTCCAGAGCAATTTTGTCCCAAGGAGCTACTGCTGGGCAGAATTCATTCTCGAGGACGGCGGAGTTCCCCGTTCCTGAGACAAAATTTGGGTGATATGATTGAAATGGCCAACTATTGTGATGGCTTCGTTACCCATCTGAACTCCTTGTTTCATGGATTTCTTCTGCGGCCTTTATACGTGGTCTAACTTGATATCCTCGGAAGGTACGACTACCAAGCTTTGCAATCATACCATAGCCTATACCATCGTCTGTACGCAGGCTATGGCGGGGATTCGGATCATATCTTGTCTTTGCTGGATGTATGGCTGGGATTGTTGTTTTTGTTTACTTCTTCATGCCTGGAACCTGGGGTTCTATAGACCCACATGGGCATAATAATAGTTCTGCCTGTTTGGGACTAGCGTCAGTACACCGCCGCCTTCATGTGGCTGGCGGGTCGCGCGGGTCTCTCTCCATCTCGCCCAGATTCTCCTTTGTTTATGCCTCGCCTGGCTGCCCTTACTACACACCTGTGATTCTCCTTACCTTTCAATGTACTTGTAGATTCTTTCCTGCGAAAGACTGGTATCTGGTATTGCTCCCAGAATGACAACGCTTCCTCTTCTGAAGCGGAGTATTTCCCTAGAAGAAGCCCTCGAAGATGACGACAATGTTCTACAACTGTTGGACTATCCCCAGAAACTGAGGGATTTCAAGACCCGTCTTACTTGTCTTAAAGCTGATATCGAAGCGACCGTGGCCTTTCATCTGGATTCACGAAAATTGCCCGACTGTTCCGATTCCTTCCCTTTATGGGTTTGGTTTTCCTGACGGACAGACTGTATGTGAGCTTAAGCTTCATTGCCAGATATAGTGAACTGACTATGCCATCTTGTATAGTTTGTTCAGGCCTCCAGTGTCTCCCTGTTCTCTCGACTCCGTTGGCGCATAACACAGACGCTACACTCGTGGCTCGGCTATCCGGCATCGTGTCCGTACATCAGTCGGAAGCGTTTGAGCCCATTGACAACTGGATACATGATCATCAGCATTGTAAAAAAAGGTCGGCAGCTCTCTGATTATTCGTTGGAAACTCTGCTGGGCGATAAAACGCGGAGACAGACTCTCTTCAGTGACCTTGCAAGAATCATTTTAACGTTGAATCGTACCGACTTTCCCCGAATCGGGTCCCTGACCTTGAACAATAATGGCGTTATTAGTCTAACTAATCGGCCTCTTACACTACGTCTACAGACCCTTGAAAACGAGGGGATCCCTACAATTCCCAGAAACTCAGTCTACCAAGCTGTGGAGTCATATCTTCTGGATCTCTTACAATGTCATGACAATCGCATCTACCATCAGCCAAATGCCATCCATGACACCGAAGATGGTCAGGAACAATTGGCTGCATTGACTATAATGCGTGCTCTTTTCCATCAGTTCATCTCTCGTCAATACCGCCACGGTCCGTTTAGACTTACGCTGACTGACCTTCAACCGGGCAACATTTTCGTCAACGAAGAATGGCAAATTACAGCTGTTATTGATCTAGAATTTGCAGCTGTTCTCCCAGTCGAACTACAAACTCCCATGTATTGGCTGACTGGCCGGACCATCGATGATATCGAGCACGGAGAGCACCTGGAGACTTTCGAAAAGCGTATCCATGAATACATAAGTGCTTTCGAGGAACAAGAAAGAAAGGACCAATGCTCAGATTTTTCTCACGCTCAAATCATGAGAAGATGCTGGAATACAGGAAGTTTCTGGTATTTCCAAGCAGTGCACAGTCCGAAAGGGCTTCTCCAGGTTTTTAGGGAGCATATCCAACGCAAATATTGTGAAGAGCACTGCACGAAACACGTGTTTGACGAGACCTTAAGTCCATACTGGTGTGAGGGAAGCAAGAGTTTGATTCAACGAAAAATGGAGGAAGAGGCGAAATATAAAAATCAACTGAAAGAGCGCTTTGGTGAGGGAAGCTAGATTGTGCAGCTTCAAAACAGTCCTCCACATTGGCTTCCAGACGTATAAAAACACGCAGTCGGATCATCCTGGGCCAATTCAACCAGCATTGCAAGAAGTATGTCAGCATGCCCCCTTACTGCCCCTACTTTGCATCTCAGTACTGGATATGATGATTTCCAGCATAGCAGCTGGTAGCAAAGAATATCCTTTGGTATGAAACAAGTTGTTCGGAAATAGACTATTCCTTGATATATGCGTCAGACAGTATTGCCACTCCATCCACAGTGCTCATCTCTGGATAGGTACTAGCAAAGAGTTGAAGATCCTTATTATTGGTTGCTGACTTTCCAGCTCTCCAGTCCGAATTTATTTAGCTTCATCACCCAGTCAAGTAATAACAACGCAAGTTAACAGGACATCCCATATTCAATCACCAAGCCCAACTTCTCCTTATATGCTATGAGACTTACTTCTCAGACAATGCAGTCACAACTGGGAGATTCAATCATGACAAATCAAAATGATTACCTTTTTTTGGTGAGCAAAAAACATACAACAGCATGTATATGTCGGTGCTCACCCAACCCAGCGTCTGTTCTCTTGCCGCTTTGCTGTCCACGTTCCGGCGCCTTCAGGTGAACATTCAGGTACCTGAATATTTTGCACTTAACTATCAAGAAGCCACATTTTGACAAAAGCGCAGCGTGACACCCATAAGATGTTTAAACCCACAATGTGTCTGTCCTGCTCCTACTCCTTCCTCCCTAACTCAAAGCTGACCGGACAGTATGCCACGGAAGCTGGTAGCAAATTTTACGTGTGTGATCAACCTTGATGATCACGATGATAAAGAGATTAAACGAGCGGTTCTTCCGCGAACGGCCAAAAAGTATGACCGAAGTCTGATGATTTTTGACAGGTAAGTAAGTCTTTTGGATCTATGGAGGCTCGCCTCTCATCCTCCCAGATTCCTTGAGCTACACCCCGCTGCCTGCTCTCCCCCGGATATCAAAACCTATAAAGGGTTTTTGGAATTTTACGCAAGAAACACGCCAGGTCGGATCGAGGAAAAACCTACACCAGAAACCGTCGAGAATTTCCGCCGGGACTTCGAAACAGCTCTGGCTCGGGTGAGGGACTTCTGTGTCCCAAAGAGCATGTCTATTACCATGAAGGAGGTATGCATTTTTGAGCCCGATATAGTCTGTATACTAACGAATCTCAAAGTACATTATGTCGGACTTGAAGACCAAACTTGGTCTTCCAGATGCTGAGATGTCCAGAGATGGACTCTCTCCGAATGATTTAACCATTCTTCTAACACAGCTCTGGTGTCGGGACTTTAAGGAATACCGTGGCCAGTATCCCGACCGGAGTAGAGTACAGCTTACTGCATCAATATTACTCTATTGCTTTTCGTCTGCCCGAACTGGAGAGGTGCATGAGTCAACAGCTCGCCGATCTATTGCCCGGCAGAAGGACGGCGCTGACGACAACAACGCGAATCTCCAAGCCAGTGCCATGGCTGCATGCTACAAGGTCTGTATTCAGCTATCTGTATTTGGCAGAAGGCTTATAAGACTAACCGCACACAGCATTTTATCCTCACTATAGAACTGGTTGACGGCATTCCGATGTTGGTGTTGACCTATGCTCGAGAGTTCGTAAAGGGGTACTGGAGAATGAAAAAATGGGAACCTCCAGTTCACGCTTTCTACGAGGTGTACAGAGAGGAAGTTCCACTTTTTTTTAACTTGATTTTATTCATGCTTCCGTTGTTTTCTGCTGACCGAGCCTTCCGCCATTACAAATCGTATACCGAGATCCTTGACGAAGTGGACTCCATCAAGCTCAGTGACTTAGAGTCGCAAAGCAACCACGTTATCTCCAGGATCCATTTTCGAAAAGATCTCTTAGATACTCCGGTATTTAGGCCGTTTAGTGAGCTGAATTGTGAAACCTCCACTGGTAGGGCAAGAGGTGCCGATGCGTTTGGAAAAGAGTTTGCTGCACTTGGGTATCGGAGCGGGTATGAACAGAATGTTACTGCCCGTGCGTGTCGTCGATGGGCACTGATGGAAACCGGTAGGGAAATATACTGATCCGAAAGTGCGTCTGAGCCACTCACATTTCATAGATAAGAAATACTCCCAGACAGCTCGAATGAAGTATGCCTCTCACACCGAAGCACGGACTTTTGGCCGGTCATATGCGCACCCTGTGTGCGAAGTGGATGGGCCTGCAACCTATTTGAATATTGCGTCCCGCGATGAGCATATCCAGAATCGACGCAGCATGGGCATACACCGTAACCCAAACCTGTGGCAATCTCTACCTGCAAAGGCGGAATTTGAATTCCAGGAACGAGAAGACGTTATGGCCCTTGATACAGAATTCGCGTTCCTTAGCGCCCAACTTGCGAAGGCCGACAGTCCGGAAAAGGCGCACGAGATTCACTTGCAACGACGTCGAGTCCAGAGTCAAAAGGATAAGCTGTATCTGGAGGAACTTAAACGACAACGGGAGGTCCAACAGGGTACTCAAACGGGAAGCATCTGTGAACAAACTCTCTTCCACTACCGCCGACGAGCTATGCCAGAACGGGACCTCCTCGCTCAGATTCTGCCAACCAAGTCGACTATACGGAGCTCAGCTGGACGGGATGTTATGAACGCGTTGGAAGCAATCTGTAGCCAGTACCATCCAGTTACCTATCGGTCAGGTTTACGACCTGTCCACGGCAAGTGCGTTTGTGGTGAATCAATAGATAGGTAAGTTCCCCAGTTCATATACACCACCTGCTGACCCGGTAGGTTTTATGCACATCGCCAATGGCTTCATCTCTATCGTTGCTACCATGAGAGGCTTCGTCAAATGAGTGTTGATGATTTTGCGGAGTTTTGCTACGAGTGCGACCTGTGGTTCAACAATCAGAATGAATGGCACCAGCACTGTCAGGATCATCTCAGCAAACCTAGTGAACTACTTCGCTGTGATCCGATTATATTCCGGAATTGCCCAGTCAAACCTGGCTACTGCCCTTTCTGTCTGGGCAACACAAGCCTAGGGCCAATTCGACAGATGGAGCAATATCTGGACATGAGCAAGTGGTACGACCATGTTCATTCTCACCTCAGCCACCGGGATCTATCCGGCGAGTTTCATTGCCGGCACCCCGCTTGCACACAGGGATATGGGTCCTTGACGGAACTGGCATGTCATCTTGAAGACGTACACTGCTATAAGCCTCCTCGCGGAAAAAAGCGATTGTTGGAACCATCCTAGATGATCTTGGATTTTCTTTTCTCTCTTATCCTTTTAGCAAAAGAGCTCGTAACGGTCAAGAGGCAATGCAAAGCCCCTCATACGCAGGGGCTGCCCTTCCGTGATGTTCACTGCTGTGATCATCTGCGCAGGAGAAAGGGAGGCAGCTTGGGAAATAGGATGCAAGATGGTGACATAGGTTTGAAACTTAGTGCGTGCCATTGACTATACTTAGAGGAACATTTTGCCCCAGCGAGTGTATGTATTATTCGAACTTCAGTTCCCGTTACCTTCTTCAGATCATCAAGGTCATCAAGACATATGTAGCAAGCCCTCTAAGTAATATGAGTGGCCGCGAGCTTGTTGAGTCCTGTTTCGAGTGTTATCACTGCCAGCACTTACCTGAGGATCTACTCCCATGTGACGTCATCGTAGTTCGCAATGTCCCGGAAAAGGCTACATTCTATTCATTCTGCCTCGGTAACACAAATGAACAGTCGTATGGGACAATATATGGACCCCAGGAAGTATACGCCGTGAAGAGAAAACACTGAAGACTTAGTAACGCGCGAGCAAGGTGAGCACATAACATTTCTATGACATTGGACATTGGTGTTAGCAAGAGAACTAGACAACCACCTGATAGGAAAGAAGTACTCACAATTGGCCGGGACCACAGAGCCTTCAGCCTCAAGCAGGGTCAAGGAAGCCTCCCAAACGCGCTGAAGGTCTGCAAGGAAACCGGCGTTCAGGAGGTGGCGGTCTGGGAGTGCTCCCTCGCGGAGAACAACAAGGCCATCATGGAAGGTCTCCAGAGACATCAGGTCCAGGGCAGAAAGATGAGTCATGTTCGCATTATGAGGCAGACCGAAGGCAGCGAACAGAGCAATGGCATTGGCCTCGTGGATGCGGCGCTTAGCTGGTCGATAAGAGCAAGGATTTCCAACTGGGTTGCAGCGGAGATGCGGTAATCGTGCGAGTGACGGGTACGGTTCACGAGGGTGAGGAGCAAGGTGCGAAGCAGCATGGCTTGACCAACTGAGAGGGTGTTGATCGAAGCAGGAGAAGGGCGACCAGTGAGCCCGAACCTCCGAAGAAGGCGGGACAGATCGTTGTGGTAGTTCACAACGGGACGGGGCATCTTGGCACTCTGTAATGTATGTAGAGATAAGGTGAGACCTCGCAGGATATTCTTACCAGAAGATGATAATATGGAAACTGGAGAGAAGAAGAAGAGAGAGGGAGAGAAGAAGGGGGGAAAGGGGTTCTACAGAATTGCCGTCATGGCATCTACGCTCAAGCTGAAGAAGTTCAAAATAGTGAATATCTGTTCCGGAACATTCACCCTGCGCAGTGAATGAGGTATTGCAGAAGGGCCTCTGTGAGCAAACACTATCATCAGGACAAACACATTGCAACACCGCGGTGAGACATGGTGAAAGAGGTATTGCGAAACTTAATACAGCAGACTTTTTCCTTTATTCTGCTTTCCCCCTCCGCGGCAGAGACTGTGAGGTGGTTTTTATAGAGCAAAGGTTTTACTGTTGCTTATCACCGTCTTTTGTATGTGTAAATATAGGGACGGGCTTATTGAAGGAGTCGCACAGGGGCGTACAAAAAGAGATAAACTAAAGGGCTACAAGAGCTTTCCAAGGAGCTTTGGTTTGCCCTGAAAATGGGATGCCATGCAAGTATTCATGAGCAGTCACTATTCCACTATGTACGAAGGGTAATTCCAAAGCGTGATCTCCTAGCTCGGATTCTTCCCACAGGCGTTGATATACGTAGTATTACTGGACGGGCGGCTCTACGGGCCCTGGAGGCGATCTGTTTGCGAAAGGGAACAGACACCTATCGTTCCGGCATAAGTCCTCTGGAAGGAAAGTGTTTATGCGGAAAGCTTACTGAGACGTATGTCATTATGTTCTCTCTATCAAGGCTTACCTGGTTGTACTAACAAGTTTAGCTTCATTGCTCACCGTCGTTGGTCTCATCTTTATGATTGCTACAAAAAACGACTGCAGGAGATGAGTGGCCACAGGTTGGTTGAGTTCTGTTTTGAATGTGATCAGTGGTTTCAAGGCCTTGAAGAATGGACGGATCATTGCCAGCACCATCTCGCTACACCTGAGGATCTACTCCTGTGTGACCTCATCATGGTTCGCAATGTTCTGGCAAAGGCTGCATTCTGCCCATTCTGCCTCGGCAACACCAGATTGAAATCCCACAATCATATGCAACAATATTTGGACCGCAGTAAGTGGTATCAGCATGTGCAGTCCCATCTGGACCACAAAGCCCTATCTGGCAAATTCCACTGCCGCCATCCAGCCTGTTCAGTGGACCTGGACAGTGTCATTGAGTTACAATATCACCTTAGAGACGTTCACTGCTATTCACCGCCGAGGGGAAAGAAAAGGACACTGGATGAACTCACCTAATGTGGTCAGCGGCTGTTAATATTGAAGACTATAGTGGTATTCTCTATTATTATATCTAATAGCATGGATCATACCAGTTTGTCGACATATCATTAATGTGAGCTCTCTAATTCAGGAGGCGACTGGTTCGAAACCTTTTAACCTGAACGGTGGGAATGAGCGCGTCCATGGGGCATTCTGGTCCATTTAGGGCCCGAACAGGATGAATTGCATGAGAGCAAAACAGATAAGTAATCAGGAGGAAGATAAGCAATATCTCTTTTTCCTAGAACCACATATAAAGGACTGCATTATACTCAGAAGAGGTGTTTATTAGTTAGCGGATCATCCCAAATCCAACATGTAGTTGTTATCATTGATTACAATTGTTGTCGCCAGCGCTTCGGCAATGGCTCTCTAAGTAAGTGGTTTCTCAACACATGATTCACACTCATCCCCTTTCAGAATTACAACCCGGTAAAACTCCTAGCCTGGGGGGTAAGCGATTGCCAGGGGGATTATTGGGCTTCCACTGTCTTCAATGACACCACTTTTGCACGGAATCTCTCCAACCGTTTTGTATCCCGCAGCTTCAAGCTTTCTCGCCCACTCCAATGCCAGGAACAGCTCGATATCTCCGTAACGCGTGAACCTGATACATGGTTCCCGAATAAGGACCAGCTATCCTTCAACAGTTCATCATGTGACCATTTCCTCCAAAGCTATTCTGCTCTTAATAGGAGCGCAGAATGTCACAATACACCCGAGTTTACTTGCCATCGGTTGTGGATGAACCCTGGCCTCTAAGTCGATCACTCTTGCCATGCGGAATCTCTCCATCTTGAGCTATGAAGGAAAATGAAGGCGGAAGTTGGTTTCGCCCAGATGTTGCACCATCTGCTATCATACTAGGACAGTTTATAGTTGTGTTACCCCTCATAATCGCCAATCCCGTTGTATCTGGGGTGGTCAATTTGCTATTTTGCGAATACATATCATACTAGTCGCCTTTATATCTTGCATCTATGTAACTTATTTACAAGAGATCTCAGAGTGTTAGGGCAGACACTTTGTTAAATATTCAATCTAGCTGAAATTAAGCCGTCGCCTCAGTTGCCGTGAACTTGTGAAGGTCTAAGATCTGTCTCAACTGCGACATCCGATTTCAAATCGTTCTTCTACCCGAAAAGACCACCACCGCTACCACGTGGTGCTGGTGGCGGTGGCGGTGGCCTTTGGCGATACTTCTTTAACTGTGCGTCTGTGATGCCTGGCCCATCCATGTCCCCCTTGATCTTAAAGACAAAGGACGCGCCCCCCCCCACTTATGTGCTCGTAGGTCCAATTATCTCTTAAACACTAATCTTTGTCGAACAAGGCAGCGTCCAGGCTTGACCGCCGCGTATCTGGGGACAAAAATCCGTCCAGCTTAAATTAAGCATGGCGATCGCGGTTAGACCAAGCTGGAACTTTGGTAAGTAATTGAAGGGATGAAAAGGATCATGTTCTTACGCAGTAATCCCATGCTATTGGCTGGTGGAAGCACAGCAATTGAAACCAGGATGTTGCGTTATGGGGCAGCTGTTCTGGTTGTTGAGAGTTTAAATAAGGAATCATACCCAGTGGGCTCTGATTTCCATGGAACTTACTCTCGAAGCTTTGTGGTCCGTAAGATGTAGCATTAAGAGATTATAATAACACATGAAAAACCACGCCGAAGGCTCTCATCATATTCAACTATAAAATCGTCCATATGTTACTGTACTACACACCCCAGCAAAACCAGCTTCACCACAGAGCACTCATTAATTGTTTCTGGGACCCACTGCCAAGAGATTAGTCAAATAAAATATTCTCCAATCATTGCAAATTTAACCAAGGATTAATCACCATACCCACATATCATACTGTATAAATAGTAACATTACTAAAGCCCTTTTACAGTACTCCGTACTACGATATTATTATCCACGTTTCCCCGAAAACATGTGGCTCGGGGACTCTTCTTCCAATCAGGCATAACTAGTGATTCCTGGAAGCCTTACCAAAAGTGCCTCGTCATGGCATCATCTAATATCTTCAGAGCGTCATTATTACTTTACGGACGTATTTCTACACCCGTAGCGAAATTGTCTTCTGGGTTGGCCACAAAGCTTATCGGATCAGGCCCCTAGCGGTGGACCAATATGTTTTTCGGATAAGCTGCTGGTTTCTCGAAGAGTCCAAATGATGAAATGAATATTAGAAATTTACCACGCCTCCCAGGCCCTCTTTTGAATAGAGATTAGAGAATATAAGTGATGTAATGGTAGTCTGATTTCTGTAACTGACCATAGAATAGTATGTCAGGACCCTGCTATCGACTCCGGAACCTGCCCTGCGCGTTGGCCTTCTGCAGAGGCAGTCTGGGAGCGTTGCCGTACTCCCCCCCCCTGCGCCTCGACCTCGGCGCCTTTCTCTAGCAGCAGCTGCACGACCTCCTTGTGGCCTTCTACACAGGCATCACGGAGAGCGTTGCCGTTCAGCCCGCCCTGCGCATTGACCTCAGCACCTTTCTCTAGCAGCAGCTGCACGACCTCCTTGTGGCCTTCTACACAGGCAGCACGGAGAGCGTTGCCGTACTCCCCCCCCTGCGCATTAACATCAGCACCTTTCTCTAGCAGCAGCTGCACGACCTCCTTGTCGCCTCGACCACAGGCAGCCTGGAGAGGGTTCCCGTACTGCCCGCCCTGCGCGTTGACCTCAGCGCCTTTTTCTAGCAGCAGCTGCACGACCTCCTTGTCGCCTTCTACACAGGCAGCCTGGAGAGCGTTGCCGTACTCCCCCCCCTGCGCATTAACATCAGCACCTTTCTCTAGCAGCAGCTGCACGACCTCCTTGTCGCCTCGACCACAGGCAGCCTGGAGAGGGTTCCCGTACAGCCCGCCCTGCGCGTTGACATCGGCGCCTTTCTCTAGCAGCAGTTCCACGATACATCGGAGACCTGCTAAGGACGCGTAGTACAATGGAGTTGCCATCTCTCTATATTGGCTCGTTTCTTCATGCCCAGGCCAATCTGGGTCAAAAAGATTCCCCCAAACTGCGTACGCTTGTCTTTGCTGGAGGAAGAAGTTCAAGATGCTTTTTTGGACGTCATTCTCAGTCTCAGCAGGCCCTGCATGGTCCATCCAATACCGTGCGGAGTACTGCGCTAGCGGAAATTTTGTCTTTATTTCCCTGACTAGATGTTGTTCATCCAGATGCGATAGGTATGCAAGACAAATTCTTGTAATAGATCCTCTTGCACTGAATTCGTTGATGCCCTTTTGAAATATCACACCAACTTCAGTCATTTCCTTTGGGAAAGCTGCTTTAATTTGTTCAGACTTCAGATATTGCTGAACTGAAAAATGCGCTAATTAAAGCTCCATCAATGTCTCTCCCGTATTACCATGAACCTTTTGTGTTACGAGAGAGACCAGACTGGAACAAACCTTCATAATTTCTCGAGGTTTTGGCATCCGTAGTTTGGAATCAAAGGGGGATCTCCGTTGGGTTCCACTACTAGAACATCAACAGCTTCTTGGATTGTCAAGGGTCGTTCTGAATAAGTTAGAAACTGCAAAATCCGGATTGCATACTGTCGATAAGTTTCATCAATGCTTGCCAAGATTCGAGCGTACGTTTCCTCTAGTGTCTTGGGTAGAGATCTAAGCGAGTCCCGAAGCATTCGAAGATCCAGACACTTTTGCAGAATATCAAGTTGGCATGCAGCCCACCTAAACCTGAACACAGAGTTAGCACTAGCCGTAAAACTTTAGAGGCCATAAATATAGTATCCCTTCTTACATCCCATCAGCTTTCTTCATAAGTTCAGTCTCGATTTCGTCTTGCACTGATTGTTCCGAGTGCCACCTCTTAAAACCACCATTATTATTTCGAAGTCGCTCATGGACATATGCGCGAATATCATGATTCACAGGGTCTTGCTGAATAGAAAGGAAGTTCCCTCGATGCATCCAGCGTTTTAATTCTGATTCGATATCTTCTTCTCTCCGACTAGTGGCGAGGAGGTTAAGCCCTGGATGTCCAGAGCTTGCAAGCCTTTCCATCCACAAGAGTAAATCTCTCCTTGTTTTACATTCATCCAGAGCGTCTATGACGATTTGGATCTTTTCGACGTGGTTCACCATATGTTGGAATGTGTCGAGGAGGGATTCGTGCGTTGGCTGTTGACGACCATATTCACAGGACGAAAACAGCTTGTCGAGCTCCTTTTGAGAATTCTCACATCTCCAATACAGTTGTGCAACAAGTGAGCGGACAAGCTTGTTGAGTGACTGTTTATTGGTATCGGTAAAATCGAAGAAGAAATGAAGGACAACATGAGAAGAATCGAGTTGCTGATTAAGATGCTCGATAATTATTGCGCTGAGAACAGTCTTCCCACACCCTGGAATCCCATGTAGCCAGAGATATCGACGTGTCTCAGACTTCCACTCTTTAAATGGCTCGCTCTCAAGGAACCAGGAACCCGTTCCTTCATGTCGCTTCTTTTGCGCTTCGTTCAGGTTGGTTGAGGGATCAGGGGGTTTCAGCCAGTCATATATTTTGCGGGATTGATTGTCTTGAGCGAGGCCTTCAACTTGGGTGATCATTTGTTTCACATCTACCGAGTAATCAGCAAACAGCTTCTTGAACACCATCATTGATTATTCATCCATAAAGTAGCTGCTTACTGACCGCGCTCAGCTATCTTGCATTTCTTGACTTCATCTATAGGCATGTGAAAAAAAAGCTCCCTAGCATAGGCTGCTGCAGCAGCTGCAGCGTAACCCTGCCACCGGTCATTCTTATGCGAGTCTGAATAGTCCGAGATGCCCCGGATAACAAGGCAAGGGAAGTCAGCTAAAGCCCCAGCGGCCTCCATTTCAAAACAGAGGATGCTATATTGTCTCGCTAGTTCATCTCTCAGCACCCCATGTTTGATTACCAGCTCCCCGGCGGCAATCGTTCCCCTGTGTACCACTAGTTGCTGACCTTGACCATACACATCATCGTCATCATCGCTGTCTTCAGCCCGACGATCCATAATCTGGCTCGAATCGCATCCACACTTCCGGCAGGCAATGTTCGGATCGGGATGCACATATTCCGCTCGATAAAGGTGGTCCTTGTCGGCTCCGGGATACTTATATCTCCGGAGGCCCGGAACAGCCGTGTCGATCCGTGCCATATGGTTGAGAAGCGGATCTTCCCGCGTCATTGCCCGCCTTACATCCATTTCCTGAGCAGCGTTGAGCAATACAGTTGGTGGGGGAGCTAGGTAGCCAGTGTGCCGAAACTGGCCGACTTCGGCCTTCCCGTGATCATATTGCACCACACCTGAATGCTCGCCCACGGGTTTGCTTACCACTACATGACCGAGATGGATGTCTCCCCGTTCAGTGCTTGTTGGAACGCCACCGCCTATGCCAACAAGAACACCAAATCTTAGCTGTTGGAAAGTATTTCTCATTTGCGTCACAACTACGGCCGCAGGGTTGTTGCCAGGGGAGTGGAGGCCAGCGATGACGACGTTATGTCCATTGATGCTGCCGAGCGTGTAGACGTTGTGGTCATTAGGTGGTTGTGGCAGGCGCTCATGCTCACTGTCCAACATTCTGATAGCGGCGATCTGCTCGACCTCCAGCGGGCAAATCCATGCTACGGTATAGTCGTCATGGGTAAGTCTCGCGTCATTCGTGTTTGGCATGGCTGATGGTAGTTTTCTGGCAGAAAGGAAGGGTTCCATCTCGGGGGAACGATAATGATGGCAACAGTAGCAAATATGGCGAGTGAAGTGAACACATTATTTGCAACAGGAGCTGGGCTGAAAGGAGTGCCAGCTGACCAACGGTCGGCAGCCAATCAAAATTTGCCCTGAGCGACTTTGGCTGGGCAGCTAGACGTATAGGAGGCTTCCATCATCCCTATTTGTTTGTTAATGGTGCATTTGATCACGCGGCTAATATTTTCTTTTAAGAACTCTATTCACTTGAAACCTCTCCTGAGCACACCAGAGGCTGCCAGTTTGAGCTGGACGACGCCGTCCAGAGCGCGGGCACATTGACACCTTTCGATACGGGCCGTTCCGTACGGTAACCACGAACCTTTTGAATAATATAGACAAATTATGATGCCATTCCCTTCCATACACGGGTTTGATTCGTAGGTTGAAAGTTGCCTAGCTTGCGCCAAATACTCGAGATTCCCTGCCTTTGTGGACGTGCTCATTGTATGCTGGATTTGGAATTATTTATTCAAGTACATAGTCCATAGTACTGTACTATAAATACAACTGGTTGAATTTGCAACTGGTAGTTGAATATTTTATTTAGCTAATGTCTTGGCTGTGGGTCCGAGAAACAGTTAATGAGTGTTCTGTGGTGAAGCTGGTTTTGCTCTTGTCTGTAAACCAAAGGCCAACCAGTCTTTAACTGCCGAGCAAGATTCGTCTTGTGGAAAGGAAAGTTCCGGCGGCCGCGGCTGCTCAGCCGGTTGCTGCAGTATGCCTAGGCTGCCTTCCGGTGCTTTTCCTGAGGAAAAACCGAGTGCACCCGAGCCCAGCTCTGCCGGCTGCTGCAGTAAGCCCAAACCGCCCTCCGTTGCCTTGCCGCGAGAAAAACCCAACGAACCCAGCACTTACTCAGGCAGTCGCTGCAGTAGATCCGCGTTTTCTGCATGTGCCGTCGCCAAAGAAAAGCCTAGTGATTTCATAGAGGTCATCCCGGGCACCGCTATCCCTGACCTCGAAAAGGGTCTTCCGAGCAAGGAGCATATCATTTTGAGCATATCTGGAATGACCTGCGGACGCGAAGCCAAGCTTAAGCGGACTTTGGGCACACTACAATCAGTCCAGAATCTCAAAACCAGCTTGGTGCTCTCGCGGGCAGAATTCGACCTCAATGTCGGTATTCAGTCACTCGATGAAGTGATTAGGTACTTGGAGAAAACTACCGAGTTCAGGTATGAAAGGGTCACAGACCGAGGATCGCAGCTGGACATTGTCGTCCCTAATGCCACCGAGTTTGTGAAGCAAGACTGGCCTCGTGGCGTGACCGAGATGACTCTCATTGATGAGCGAACCGTGAATGTCGCTTTTGATGCAAAAATAATCGGAGCAAGAGACCTGCTGGAGCATGGCTGGGGTAGACCCCTTGCTCTGGCTCCTCTTCGTTCTGACGCAGCACTTGCGGCTGGAAACAAGCATGTGCGCCACATGGGATACATGACTATTCTGTCCATTATTCTGACAGTACCCGTCTTGGTCCTCGCTTGGGCTCCTCTTCCGGAGAGGGCAATTGCCTATGGCTCTGCATCGTTGGCATTGGCGACAATTATCCAGGTCGTCATTGCCGACCCGTTCTACCCAAAGGCATTAAAAGCGTTGGTCTTCTCCAGGATCATTGAGATGGATCTGCTCATTGTACTGAGTACGAGCGGTGCCTATATCTTTTCTGTGGTCTCGTATGGATACCTTGTTGCGGAACAGCCACTGGCCACTGGTGAATTCTTCGAGACTAGCACTTTGCTCGTCACGTTGATCATGGTTGGTCGGTATGTCCCCGCACTCGCTCGTCAGAAAGCCGTCGAATCCATTTCACTCCGGTCACTACAGACGCATACTGCTATTCTCGTGGATGAGTCTGGGGTCAATGAAAAAGAGATCGATGTCCGGCTCCTTCAGTATGGAGACATCTTCAAGGTCATTCCAGACTCGAGGATCCCAACCGATGGGACGGTTATCGGAGGGTCATCTGAGGTCAACGAGTCAATGATTACCGGGGAGTCAATTCCTGTAGACAAGTCCCCTAGATCTGCCATTGTCGCAGGATCTGTGAATGGTTCTGGGACGCTGATTGCCAAGTTGATCCGTCTTCCTGCTGATAACACGATCTCCGTCATTGCAGGTATGGTGGATCAAGCGAAACTGTCGAAGCCGAAGATACAAGATATCGCGGACCGAGTGGCGAGCTACTTTGTACAGTGGTGGTGGTGGTGGATTCATACCCTGGCCCCTCGCCTTGGCGATATGCAGGACACAACTATCGCTATCTCTATATACATATCTAATTACATTGAACCATTACATCCCGACGAATTTAGAGCCTCGTCAAGGCCTGTGGCGGCCTATGTGCCTGGTATTCTGTTCTGCGGCCCTTGTGGCGCGCGGCTTCGAAACCTCTGAGATGCCTCTGCAAAGTCCAGTACGTACTGCACCCAAGATGCTACTGTCCTGCGTGGTGTCTTTCAACTTACCTTCCTTACCTTGCGGTCCTCCTCCCAGCATATCTGCAATGTTATTGAATGCATTTCCGACTTTCCTCCGTAACTCCTGTCGCAGTTCTTTCAGTTTTGGACAGTCCACAAGCACATGGACCACTGTTTCCTTAGCACTAAAACACTGAATTAATCCCATAGGAAAACCGCCATCTCATCAAGGTATAGATCCGGCTTTTCGAGAAGGCGGTCGCGTAGCGCGTCCAACATAGGCGGGGAAATTGTTCGTGGTCGGCCGGCCCTGATTGGAGGTGCCTTGATAGTGCCAAAATGTCGCAGATTAGAACGAATGTATCGGATGCTGCGCTCACTACAGCCGGCTACATCGGCCATTTGGGCAGTAGTTAATGACTTGCTTAAGATCATGTCGCGAATGAGCTCATGCGAATGAGCTCATGCTGAGATGCTGCCAGATTCGGGGCCATTTCGATTACACAAACAGCTTCTCTGCAAGCCTGGTTGGGGGTGCGGGAAAGAAGCGATGAGGGGATATTTTGCAGTCAAGACTGGCGGTTGCCTAATGTGTGTAATGAGACGTAATGTAAACAATTGAATGTTCTAGAATTTGACAGCCCAGGTAACGTACGAAACCCAGCTGGAAATGCCAAGGCACTAGCACTGTGGGAGTGGGGCTTCAAACTAATTAAAGTGTGTTTTGAGGCGGAAGCCAATTTCGAATGTCACTGTACAAAGTGAACTGTATCAAGCGAACTGTATCAAGCGACTTTGCTGTACCTGAAGAAAACAAGTGTAGACTGGGATCTACGGAGTGCAACGAACCAAAAGAGTAGAATCGCACGATTTGAGGTTGCATATCGATATTTGTGGTTGTGGTTGAGGTTGTGTACCGAGCGGAAGCTAAGGACGGCCCGATGGCGGTTCCGCCCGAGGGGATTCCCGACCCCGAACCCACAAA